CATACCGCTCTCCTGGAGTCCTTGAGTTCTGCATTTCCAGCACCTACCTTGGGCAGCTCAAAAGCCTGAAGTCCAGCTCCGAGGGTCCTGACACCCTTTTCTGGCCTCCACAGGCACCTGCATATATGCGGCATTCACTCACACAGACACACACAAAAATTCAATTCCACTCTGGAACAGAGGCAGAGACAGGCAGATCTCTGTGAGTTCCAGGCCAGCCAGGACTGCATGAGACTGTTTCTCAAGAACTAAAATAAAATAAGGTTCCATGAGAGATCTGCCCCAGGGGAATAAAGCAAAAAGTGACCAAGCAGGCAGAACGCCTTATATCTTCCTCTTGCCTCCATCCAAGCTCACAGGCACACACATGTACATCTACCACACAGACACACATGCATGCACACACACACACACATTGTTGCTATAGCCTGGATGATCTTTGACTATGCCAGTTACAAATACTGTATGATTCGTTCATATGCAGTACCTACAGTAGTCAGATTCATAAACCTAGAAAGGATAATACTGTTCCCAGATATTGGGGAGATGGAAGATGCCGCATCCAGCACGGCTCCAGAAATGGACCTGAATGAGGTAGTGAGTGAATGAAGAAAAAAACATAGGAAACTGGGACTGGGTGGTCTGGGCTCTTAGCTGGACAAAGCACAGCACCCTGGAAGCTCGGTGTTTATCATATACAATGGAACAAAGAGGTGGAATTACTGTGTAGAGCTGAACAAGGAGATGGGGCTACTCCATACAGATAAACAAGGAGATGGCTTACACAGACAGCTGGAGCAAGGGAGTGGGATTAGAGTCTCAGGAGCATTCTCTGTAGAGAGCAGTCTTCAGGCTGTAAGCATCGCCTGGGAGAGAAGCTGAGGTGGACATATTCTGAACATACTGTGAGCACTTGCGTTTCTCTCTCATCCAAGGAAAGGTTTGCTTTGCCTCTGAACCTTAGCCCAGGGAGAAGGCCTTGCCATTCCTCTGTGGGTCTAAGGCTCTGGGGTCTTTGACATGGCCAGCTTATGTCAAAGCACACGTTCTCTCAGGACTTCACTCATTCAGGGCTTCCTGTTCCCCACAGAGGCAGTAGAGGCTTGTCTAATAGGAAGATTAAAAAAGTTTAGGAAGTGCGTCCTGGTGGTGGTTGTACAAAAGTCAGAGCGTATTAAATACCAGTGAGTTCAGATTATACCAGTGATAATCCTGTGCTCTCTCCTGAGGTGTTCAGTGACTTCTGCTCTTGATTGTGTCGCCTGGTGTGTGACAAGCAATCCTTTATACCTGTTCAGTGACACAAAGCTACAGCCCCACCTACCTGCACTTCTTGATTCTCATTGTTACTTTAAAAAGACAAAACACAGACAGGGGCATTCTTCCAGAGATATATAATGGCTTCGCGTGGACTGAACTTTCATAGCAGCTCTGTTCCCAGTAGCAGGATATCACCACAGCACTGGAAGCTGCTCACTGCCCTTCTCTTTTTTAATGTCTTTCTCCCTCTCCCTCTATCCTTCTCCCTGTCCCTCTCCTTGTCTCTCTCCCTGTCCCTCTCCCTGTCCCTCGCCTTCTCTGTCTCTGCTACATCTCCGGCCCAGAATCTCATTGTTCATATTTTTAATCTAAGGTAATAGTTTAACACATATCATGTCACCGACCAAGGTGGCCTGAGAGGCAGAGCCACTGTGTCTGCAAAGCCACGCCAACACGAGCAGTACTGCGCTTTCAACTTATCAACAAGGATGACAAGCTTCCTTTGGCACAGAGAGGAAGATGTGTTCAGAAGTATTAAAATGTGGGGGAAATGGGTTATCAGTTGTGGTTTCTGGCTACTGATTAAAGAAGTAGGTTCTGGTGACTTTAAGAAGAAAAGGAACCTTTTTAAAGCAGCGGTTCTCAGCCTTCCTAAATGCTGAGACACTTTGATATAGTTTCTCATGTTGTGGTGACCCCAACCATTGAATTATTTTGTTGTACTTCATAACTGTCATTCTGTTGCTGTTATGAATTATAATGTAAATATCTGTGTTTTCCGGGGGTCTTAAGAGACCCTTGTCAAAGGGTTATGACCCACAGTTTGAGAACTACTGCTTTAAAGTAGCAGGGCCATTCACAGAATTAATGGGGATGTTGGAAAGCTAAGCTCAGGAAAGAACTGAATACATGGATACATCTTCCTTCATGAATACATTCACCTCCATAAGAAGAGTTCCCTCCTATTGTCACGTCATTCCTTTGAGGCTCAACCCTCCACTCTGGTAGAAAGATAACAGTGTGTAAGTCTAGATGACTTACTTGTGTCCCAGCCTGCAAAGAAAAGGGACACCTGAGGCCCATGGAGGACCCTCCCCTCCAAGCAGAAAGGGAGTTCAGAACAGTGACTCATTCTCTCAGTACGCTGCTGCTCATAGCATTTTCTCTGAATGTTTCTGAGGCTTCATAGATGATCTCTCTCTCTCTCTCTCTCTCTCACACACACACACACACACACACACACACACACACACACACACACCACCATGAAAAGCAACTTCCAGATAGGTCCCTCTGTCAGTGAGTCCCAGCCACCCTGCTGCCACCTGAATGACAGGTATTTATCTGCTGAGGTTCAGCTACTGTGACCTGTAGTTTGGGGCTGTCTGTCAGTCCAGATGACAGTGGTTCTTGATACCTTGTCAGACAAGTTTGTCTGGCCTTTGAGTGACAGAACTCAGGGAAAATTTTGATTCTGTCTTTACATACTACTATGTCACCCATTCAGCAAATCTTGGTTCTTGCTCCAATCCAAACCGGTTGTTGAAGGAAATGAGAATCAAGTCTGGCCCATATCCTGAGCACTCCTTCTGCCCTCCTTGTCCCCAAGAAATCAGGAGTTCTGTAGCCAGATACACTAGAGAATTGGAAGTCTCCATTGTGTCCGATGGCATAAGTACCAGGTGGGGAGGAAGGGAGGGAAGGCCGTGGAGGGACACATGAGGGCTTCTGTGCATCTGAATCGGATTTGGGTTTTTGGTTTGTGTGTGTTTTGTTTGAAATGGGGACTGGTACATCCCAGGCTGGCCTGAAACCAGCGATGTAGCCGAAAGTGATCTTGGATTTCTGATCTTGCAACTCGCTCCCAGGAGAATAGCACCAAATACATCTGCTTTGTGCATGCTGGGCACAGAACCCAGAACTTCAGGAATGTTAGATAAGCATTCTGCCAGCTGAGCTGCATTCCTAACCACACATTTCCTAATTTTTGTTATTATTAAACCACATAGCTGGCAGGGCATGGTGGCACACGTCTTTAATCCCACTCAGCACTGTGGAGGCAGAGGCAGGCAGATTTCTGTGAGTTCAAGGCCATCAAACGTGAGATAGTGAGACCTATTTCAAAACCAACCAAACAAAAACAAACCCTTTATTAACTCTAGTCTGCTTGTATATCTTCTGCGCCCCTTTCACTCCTGTTATACAAAGGGGTGAAAACTTTAGCCCACAAGCCTCTTTATTTTTCCTAAAAGAGCATTCTCTCCCTCCCCCCCAAAAAAAAGCATTCTCCCCTAGGTACTTCTTCATCTGCCTTAGGACCCCATGCTCCATCTCCTGCCAGCACCCTAGATTTATACCAACAGTTTGGGCTTTTGCTGCAGAATATATCCATAGGATACTGAGCATTGCCTGGTATTTAACATTTTATGTTTTCAAGACTTATTTATTTTTGTTGTATATGTATGCATGTTGCTTGTATGTAAGTCTGTGCATCATTGTATATGCCCATAGAAGCCAGAAGAGGATGTCAGATCTTCTAGAACTGGAGTTATAGGCAGTTATTAGGTGCCACATGGGTGCTAGGAACCAAGCTCAGATCCTCTGGAAGAGCAGCCAGTTCTCTTAACCGTTGAGCCATCTCTCTAGCAACCCCAAAGGTGGTGGTGGTGGTGGTGGTTGCATGTTTGTAGAGATTCCGATGTTGACAGGTGAAGATCTAGTTTACTCTTTTTGCTGTCTGGCATTTTGTTATCTGAATAAACCGAGCTTGATTTTTAAAACTATCAGCATTAAGCAAGGCACAGTGTTAAAATTATATGTTAGCTAGCTCAGCACAGTATTATTTTTTAGATTTTAACATGAGTTTGAAAATATTAGAAATGGAAAGGAATGAGGAAAACAAGTTGGGAAGGCAGCAGGAGGTAACTACTGTGCTACAGTGGGCTAAATGGAGACTGCGGCTCTGCAGCTGAGCAGCCTGAGATTAAAATAACCTTTGGTACCGGCCTCCTTGCGTGCCTCTCCTGGGAACGTGCTTCCTTGGGGGAGATGGCTGAAAGTCTTGACCTCAACAAGAGTGTTTACTTAACTGCTTGATTTGGAACAGATTGGTAGGTGGCCAACACACTCAGTGGGATTTGTTGTAGCCCTGGCCATTTTAAAAAAGAAATTGGCAAATGACCATATTCTGTGTGACAGATTTTTAAAATACTTTTTAAACACATTTAAGCTATAAATAGTCCCGTGATAAATATCAATCACAACCTTTCCTAGACAACCCTTGACCTCCACAGCACTCTATAAACTTGGGCTAAAAGAAATTCCTCCGTTCCCATGCTTGCCAAACCCTGAAAACTGCAGGTGGCCTCCAAGTTCTCTTCCTTCTTCATCTCAGATGTTTTCTGAAAAGAGGGACCTGACCAGAGAGGGAGCCTTTAACCCACAGTCTTCAGTGTTGGGGCTGGAGGTCGGTTTTGCCACTGATCCAAAGGCTGGGTGAAGTCAGAGTCCTGAGTGCCAAGTGAATTTGTCTGTGTGGTGCTGCATCACACTGGCCGCCCCATTCTGTTCCCTTCCATGGAAGGGTGCCAGGTCCCCAGGGTTAACTCTACGTCCATCCCAGGGCACCTCGTCTGAAAATTACTCCCAGGTCATAGGTCTGCTGCCTCAGATTCAGCCCTGTTTAACAGCCACGCCCTCCACGGTGGTCAGTGCACTAACAGACCCTTCTCTCCACCCAGGATATGACTTCTGCCAGGTCCTACAGTGGTTTGCTGAGCGGGTTGACCGGATCATCCTGCTCTTTGATGCTCACAAATTGGACATCTCAGATGAGTTCTCAGAGGCGATCAAGGCCTTCCGCGGCCAGGATGACAAAATCCGAGTGGTACTGAACAAGGCCGACCAAGTGGACACACAGCAGCTGATGCGAGTCTATGGGGCCCTCATGTGGTCTCTGGGCAAGGTCATCAACACACCTGAGGTACTTCGAGTCTACATTGGCTCCTTTTGGGCACAGCCTCTGCAGAACACCGACAACCGCCGGCTCTTCGAGGCTGAGGCACAGGACCTTTTCAGAGACATCCAGAGCCTGCCCCAGAAGGCTGCTGTGCGTAAACTCAACGACCTCATCAAGCGAGCCAGGCTGGCCAAAGTAAGCAGGAGATGACTGAGTCGGTCACTGGGGCTGGGACTGGATTGCACTGTAGGTTGGGGTAGCTCTATCCCAGAAGGTTTGGGGAGGGAATGTGATTGGTGGACAGCTTTAATCCCAGCACTTAGGCAGCAGAGGCAAGTGGATCTTTGTGAGTGTCAAGGCCAGCCTTGTCTTCATGAGAGTTTCAGGCCAGCCAGGGCTACACAGTGAGACCCTGTCCAAAAAAAAAAAAAAAATCGCCATACTCTTGCTGCACTTTTAATCCCAGCATTCAGGAGGCAGAGGCAGGAGGATCTCTATGAGTTTGAGACCAACCAGGGCCACACAGAGACCTTCTCTATAAATAAAGGAACAAATAAAAATAAACAACCAAAAAAAAAAAAAAAATCAGGAATCACTGCTTCTGTCCCAGCCTGTGACCTCAGGCAGACAGCTGGGCTTCAAAGCCTGTTTTTTAATCTGAAACCTGGAGCCTACCAGAGCCTTTCACGCAGTGCTTACGTGGATTCTCTGTGACACCGTGCTGAACATAGCAGCTGGGACATGGGGAAGGGTCAGTCAGTGCACCAGCTGAAAGAAAGCTAATATGTTAGCATTATGTTGGGATGCTGAGATCTCAATTTCCCCAGTGTAGAAAAGCTGGCATTCTAGCCAGAGCCTGTGGGATGCTGGGAAGCCACCACTAGTCACTGTTCACTTAGGGCCAGAACCCAGAACTGCCTAGAAGCTGGGAGATGGGGTGGCAGTTACTAGAGCGTGTCAGATCCCTCCATCCTCATTCTGGCCTGTAGCCCATACTGTAACTCACTGTGGGCCCTATAACAAAGTCACCTGAGGCTCGTGATTGAGCCGCCTAGCAGCCCCTGGAATATGTGCCCATGGTGTGTACGTGTGAGCACGTAAGTGAATATGTGACGGTCTGTTGAGCCCCACAGGTGGCAGAGTCAATACTGTAATGTCTATGAAGAGCAAAGCAGATCGCTCCTCTAAAAGTATAGGGTCAGGAGGAGTTCCTTATAGATCTGTGTATGTTTTATGTAGTTGTCCTGTACTTCTGGAAGCACCCTGGAGCCCTTTGCCAGAATGAGGGTCTGACCTGGTTGATCCGAGAGTTTTAACCAATGGAGTTTCCAGACCCTGCCCCATAGCTGTTGACTCAGGAGGGTATGTGGCCATAGATCTGTATGGACACACATGAGGGCATGCGCTTCTCAGGTGTCATTATCATCAGCTGAGATCCAGGGGCTGTACTGACTTCCTGATTTTTCAGAGACAAAGTGACCTCTTCAGACTCCCCCAAACCATTAGGTGAGAAGCTAGGACTGAAACACACTCCCCCAGCTGTTAGTCTAGCCCTCTGCTCTGGGCCCAGGACTCCAGCTGGCACCAGTACGCAGGCTGCTCCACACCCATTGGAGCTTGGTCAGAAAGTAGAGTCAACTCCCTTCTCTTGCTATTCTGCTGGAAAAAAAAAAAAAAAAAAAAAAAAAGCAGGGAAAATCAGCCCCACAATCCTGACTTCCAGTCTGGCCTGGGTGCACTGGGTTAGCCTCCGGAGTGTTCTACATCTGTGGCTCATTTAGACGACACAGGTAGGGCGTGCCCAGGCCAGAGCTGAAGAGTACGTCTGGGGGGGGCACTCAGGGCACCCTTGTTATAGCGTGAGGAACTGAACTGACCAAGGAATGGGTACTTGCCCATATGGAACTCAGAATGGTTCCTAGGTGCTTGTCCAAGGGAAGCAGGGATGGCTCCCCAGACAGCCAGGGGCCTTTCAGCACCTCATTTCTCCTCAGTAGCTATCTTCCTGCTGCTGCCAAGTGTGCATGCTCCTGTGTCTGAAGAGACCTGCCCTGGACGCCCACTGCCCCATACTCACAGTGCACAACCTCTTGGTTCCCTTTCTTACAGCCCAGGGCATGCACTTTCTTCCCTGTGTCGCCAAGCTTACTTGAGTCTGCCAGGTGCTATGAGACCCCCACTCTCTCTCCTTTCTCCCTGGTATAAGCTTATTTCCTCTCAGAACTCTGTGCCACTTTGTTCTAGCCCTGCAAGGCAGTTGCTCTAACTAGTTTGTGAAACCACTTCTCTGCAGCTCTCCTGAAAGGCCCACTACCATGGGCCTAATACCCGGTGACAAGAAGTCTTTCTAGTTTTGCCTGTTCAATGACCCTTTGGCACGTGGTATTTCTCTTTTTAGCCATTATAAATGAATTTAACCTTTAGGGAATCTATATAAAGTCTAAATTATCTTTTTGTTGTGTTTTTTGTTTGTTTGTTTGTTTGTTTGTTTGTTTTTGAGACAGGGTTTATCCGTATAGCTCTGGCTGTCTTAGAACTCATTCTATAGTCCAGACTAGCCTTGAACTCAAGGGATTTGCCTGCCTCTGCCTTCCAAGCACTGGGATCAAAGGTGCACCACCACCACCCAGCTAGCCTAAGTCATTTCCTGGTCAAAGCTCCTGTAGAGTTTGCAAATTCACAGACTTTAATGTCTGTGGGCATTTTAAGCTTACCAGTTAGGCCAGTGACTCCAAACGCGGCTATATTCAGCCATAAAAAGAGAGAGAGGCAGAGGGAGAGAGAGAGAAATATGAGAATGAATATGAGTGTGAATAGGGAGCTGGGTGAAAATGCCAAGTACCACAGCATGGCAGTGTTCCCTGCCATTCCTAAGTGCTGACCCTTGGAGCAGACCATCATGGCCTAGGTTAGTGTGGCACAAAATGCCTCTGTTCTAACGCTGAATAATGAAAACCCTTGTGCAGATGTGGGGGGCAGATGCTCAAACTTGCTGAGCTTACTTATGGGAAAAGAAACAGCATATTCTTCTCTTCCTAAGAATAGTATCTGGTTTGTTCCTTTTCACAGAGGAAAATGTTTAAGGCACAACTGCTTCCATCACCAGCTCCCCAGTGCCATTTGCACGTGGTCTGTCGCAATCCCAGAGCAGAGCATCAGGACAGGAAGCTGCCTGGGCTGGATAAGAAGCAGAACTGAACGCAGTGGCCTCAGGCCCTAGCATGGCACATGCTAAGTGGGTGCTCTACGGAGCTGTGCCCTTAGCCATCCAGCTGCAAGTTCACGTTCCACTTGTGAGCTTTGTCGTTTATTGTTCTTAAAGCAGCAAGGAGTAGGCTGGGGATGTAGCTCAGCAGTAGGGCAGCTTGCTAGTGTGCTCAAGGCCCTGGCTTCTGTTCCCAAAGGGAAGGAAAAGTCCACACGGAGGACTACACTAAGGGCTGGGAAAATCATGGACCAGATAGGATGTGTAAGTTTCCTGTGGCTGCTCTACCAGAGGCCAAATGGCAAACCAGAAGCCCAAAGTCAAGGTATTAGTAGATCCATACATCCTCTGAGGGCTCCAAGTGTCTGTGCTCCTCTCCTGGCCTCCTTGGTGCTCTGTGGCCTAGAGGGCTTTTTATTTGTTTGGATTGGTTTGGTTTTTGTTTTTGTTTTTTCAAGATAGAATTTCTTTGTGTAGCCTTGGCTGTCCTGGAACTCGCTCTGTAGACCAGGCTGGCCTCGAACTCACAGAAATCCACCTGCCTCTGCTTCCTGAGCACTGGGATCAAAGGCGTGCGTCACCACCACCTGGCTTGTGTTTTTATTTTAGTCACTCACTAAAATAATTAATAATGCAAACAAAAAGGCTGGAAATTAGGTAATTTCTCTGTCTTTTCTATTTGTGTGTTTTCAAAGCTGTCTTCTAAGGAACAAAAGACCTTCATGTGGTCTGGGTGAGCCTTCTCATCGCCTCACCTTCTGTCAGGTAGAGAGGTAGCCTGCCAGAAGTCTGTTTGCTCTCTCTTCAATGCCAGTCAAAGCTTACTGTGTGATTCTTCAGAGTAAGCTATTTTAGGAAAGTCCAAATACAAGTTTTGGAAGTAGAATTTAGTTTTATTCTTTTATAAACTTGTGCGGATCTCAAACTTCCTTATGGGATACATGAACAAAAGCCAAAAAGTGAGGCAAATTTACTGCCAGACCCCATCCTGCACAAGGTTGGGAAAGCACCGCCCCCCATTTGGAAATCTTCACTCAACAAGAAAACAAAGCAGCTTTTGAGGAAGGAGTGGGTGAGCATGAGGGAAGAGAGCTCAGTGACTTTCAGGGGTCACTAGAGTTCTGTGGAATTTAGTTCGCTCTTCAAAGACATATTTTCCTCTCGGTCACATGTAGTGTGCAGAGCCTGGCTTTCCTGTTTGCAGGGTCAAGTTCCTTTTAGGAGAAGTTGGGCATTTTGTAGCTCATCGGGCAGATAGAGGCTGAAGTATGCGGTGTGTGGTGATGAGCCCTTTAATGCTTATCCACTGCAAGGCTTTAAAAATAGCTCCATCACTGCCTGGGCTTTGTGGAGGTCTGTGCTCAAGCCTATATATGGAAACCTGTCTCTCTGAAGGCTGACCTCAGATGCCTCTAAAGGCCCCTTTAAGTCCTCTCTAAGGCTGTTGGAATCACGTGTCTTATTGGTACCAGCTTTGATCTGAAGGAACCCTTGCTCAGCAGGACTTGGCTGCTTCTCTCAATCTTCCGTTTTCACCTTTTGGGTCTCTGGTTTACTATTAAATTTGGTTAGCAGGGGCAGGTGACAGATAGGCCTCACTGGGTAGCTCAGGCTGGCCTCAACCCATGGTAGTCTTCCTGTCTCAGTTTCCTAAGGGCCGAGTTTACGGACATGAGTTACCATGCTCGGCATTAACTGAAAGGGAAAAGAGGGGGGTATTACCGTAAACCCACAAACAACAGCCCCAGTCTGAGCAGAGTGTTTCAGACAGTTTGCTGTCACCGTGTGCTGTGACATCATGCAGAGCGCAAAGTACACGTGCTGTGTTCGCAGAACCAAAGTTGCCATGAAGTCACACAGTATTAACACAGGGGCAAGTGAAAAGCACCTCGAATTCGTTACACGTTTGATTTCGAGTTAATTCTTGGTTGTCATGTATTCACACAGCGTTAACTGTTGTCAGTTTTTTAAATAGCCCCTACATTCAGTGAAGCAACCACCATTTGAGAAACTGGTCCTGACGCAACAGTCATGCAGCCTAACGCGTGTATTTTCAGATGGCCTCTGAACACTGCATGCACTTGCATTGCTGTTCAAATTCTGTTGACCCCACCCAACATGCACGTACACTCAGCGGCTCTCAGCCGAGCGGTGGGATGAATCCACTCACTGTCTCCAATGTCCTTCTTCTCCAATATTCTAATTAAGTCTGTTTTCCTTCGAGACATTTCCAACTCTGCCTAGTTGTTTAATTTTTAAAACCATCGGTCTATTATTCATCCTTTCCTCCTCTAGTTATTTATTTGGCTTCTGTTAATTTCAAATTCTATAAAGAAAACCTTTGTAGTCAACACAACTTACTGATCTGAAGTTTGAAGTAAGCGGAAAAAGTGAGGGAAGCATGTGACCCAGGCCAGACAGTACCCTCCTGGGAAGATTGCTCCCCCTTAGGGGTTTGGGGAGCTTCCCTTTCATGTATCTGGGTTTCCTCCCCCGAGAGAGCTGTTCCTCCTGCCTGATCCCAGGCAACTGGTCTCAAACAGAAAACCCTCAGTGCCACGGTGAAGCTCTCAGCACTCTGCCCATTGAAGTGCTGCGCCCATGATCACTCTGACTTCATTGCTCACAGGACACCGCTCCTGTGTAGGTAAATGAGTCAGCCTCTAGTTTCACTTCCTGGTGCTCTCAGGCACAGGTGAGACTCTCTCTGCCTTTTCTGGTTAGTCACAGTGGAGATCTTTCCTGCTAGGGGTCTGCTTGCTTCCTGCCCAGATAACAGAACCATTCCTGTGAGGGTACAGTCAGTTGCCCTTTCTTGGGGGGTACACTTGAAGACATGATCTCTAGGGACATTCTCTGTGCGGCTTTGCCTCACCCCACCTGGTTCTCGGTCAAGTATTGCACCGTTCACCGGGATTCCAACTTCTCTGACCCTGGAGAACCATCATTAGTGCTAGCACTAGGTCAGCAGAGCCTCACTGGGAATCCTCCCGTGGCTCCAATGCCTGCTGAGCGAGGCCTGGATGCAGCCCACCTCTCCCGTCCCTGGACCGTGTGCATGATACCACCCCAGATCCACACCCACCTCATTAGCACCCTCATCTCGCTGTACTCACACATCTCCTACTGTTCTTCACGGGACCCAGCTCAGACCTGTGCTCCCCCTAACCCAGCCTTCGATGTTGGGGTTCTCTGTGCTCACCCTCCCTGTGTGGTCTCAGCATATCTGGTTCCTCTGGCCCTTCCTCAAGTCCAGCTCTCAGATTACCTGTTCCAGACCAGCTCTCTAGAAGCACGTTCTAGCTGCCCTTAGGAGGTTGGGCTCTTGGGTTCTCACCTTTGTTTGTGGTTACGAATCAGAGTGCCCCATGGGAATGGGGTCTCGTTCATCTCCTCCCTCGAGGAGTGTGTTGTGTGTTGACCTGACATATCCCCCTTAGGTACATGCCTACATCATCAGCTACCTGAAGAAGGAAATGCCAAATGTATTTGGAAAAGAAAACAAGAAGCGAGAACTCATCTCCAGGCTTCCAGAAATCTACGTTTACCTGCAGCGAGAGTACCAGATTTCTGCGGGGGACTTCCCTGAGGTCAAGGCCATGCAGGTACTGGGAGCCCCATCACAGTGTCATGAGGAGGTGGTGGGAGCTCTGGTTCCATCTGCACAGAGCCACGGTACTCTCTGCAAAGCAGATGACATGAACTTGGGTGCCTGCAGCCACCAGCTGTGTGGTCACAGGAAGAGATAGCCATGGCATCCCTGGCTGTTTGTTTTCTCGTCTCTAGGAGAGATGTGGGTTCCCAGAGTATGTCTACAAGGAGAATGACTCTGCAGCTGCAGAAGGGGAACTTGTTGGGGTCCTGCAGGCCAAGGAAGATTGAAGGATATATGGCCCATCTATGTGGGGGTGTCGTGTCTAGTCTGGGAGTCACTGTCCTCTGGGGATATGAATCCGTGCGGTCATAAGAAGCCGAAGTCTAGATTTGTATGTAAATCACCTTTCAAATTTGGTCTTAATTTTTCAAAAACTGCTAGGTAGACTAAATATAGATTTTACCCTGAGACCAGCTGTTATAACATAAACAGACTCTGAACCTGTAGATATTTGTGAAAATTATTCCAGGCCTGTGTGGGTCAGAGGACACCAGGTCCCCAGAGCTGGGTCAAGGGACAATCCCTGCGGAAGGAGTTAGGGAAGCCAGAGTCTCAGGAGCAGCCACAGCCCATTTAGCTGTATACTGGGTGAGTCTAAGCCTATGTTGAAAATCCCATGGTCAGGACCCACACTTGGTATCTTCAGTGAGCCCAGGCAGAGCAGGAGCCCCAGCCTGAGAGATGCTATGTCCGTTTGTGTTCATTTAGTCATTCATCCAGGAAATGTTAGTTACCGGGACCAAGCATTGTTCTAGTCTCTAGAATACACCAATGGGCAGACATTTAAGATAAGAGTAAGAATAGTTGAGTCTTTGCCCCAGTGACATACCCCTTGCTACAACATGGATGCCGTGGGCTTCAGTGTAACTCCTGATTCCATCTGTGTGGTTCAGTGTGTCTTTGCAAGTCTATAACTCCATGAGCTCAATACCCATGTCATGCTCACTCTACTTTCCCTTCCTCTAGACAGCGGCTCCCAACCATAACATTACCTTGTTGTTACCTCATTAACTGCAGTTCTGCTACTGTTATGAATCGTAATGTAAATATCTGATACGCAGGTTGCCGGATATATGACTCCCAGAGGGGTTGTGACTCCCAGGTTGAGACCTGCTGCTCTTCCACGTAGTAGGTGCTCAGTAAATACATGCTGAGCATGCTTCTTCCCCTGAGGCTGTTGAGGATCTACCATCTTCAGCAACGGGCATTCCGTTGACACCAGCTGTGTGGGGGTCAGATGTAGAGGATAAAGCTGGGAAATAACAGGAACTGGGCATATGTCAGGGTCGTGAGGAGGGTTCACCACAGCTGGTTTCAGGTCTATGTTCTCCCAGATGGTGGTGACATGCACCCTTAATTCCAGCACAGAGGCAGGATCTCTGTGAGTTCAAGGCCAGCCCAGTCTACACAGCAAGTCCCAGGACAGCCAGGGCTACACAGAGAAATTCTGTCTCAAAAGAGAGAGAGGGAGGGAGAGAGAGAGAGAGAGAGAGAGAGAGCGCGCCCTGGTCAGGGGTCTCACATCTGTTATACCAAGCCAAGCGTGTGTTTTAGTTCCCTTAGTGCCAGAACAGACTGCCTGTGTCTGCCTGTGTCTGCCTGTGTCCTGCTCCCAGGGAACCTGGCCTGTTACGGGATGACTGCCCTGCAGCTTGATAACACTAGAAATGCTGTACTGTAACTGCTCACTCAGTTGTTGCGATGTCATGACAGCAGAGGGCAGCAGAGCCATCCCCATGTGCCCTGCTCCCACACATTTGAAAACCAGCCTGGGGGGGGGAGCGTGTCTTCCACCCCTCCACACCCCTGCTGAGGTCTGTAAGGACCACAGGGACCATAGTGTAGGGTTTATTTCCTGTATGCTTTCTGGGCAGACGTAGCTGCTGCTTTCTAGTCGTTCCTGCACAATTGTGGCCGCTTGCCCCTTGTTTCTTCAAACACCTGCCATCAGAATCCCCCTCCTCTGCAGGCTGGTAGACATTTTTAGGCAGCTGTAATCCCCATGTGTCTGTTTGCCAGACAGGCACCCTCTGTGCTCAGGGCTCAGACTCATTCCCCAAGGCTGGGGTAGGTGTTCCTGCACCCAGGGGAATTCAGACTACTTACTCAGTAGCACTGGAATTTTTATGTAGGAAGGCCTGTAATCCCTCCTTCTCAACTGGCCCCTTTGTCCTCTCAGCTGTGACACTGTCAGCAGAAGTCCTGGGTACTGGCAGCACTGTTTGGTGCCGAGGGTGGAGGTGATGGCCTGATGGCTCTCATCAAGCAGTGAGCACGCAGGACTCAGAACCCAGAACTTACTTCAGAAAGCAGGCCGCTCGAGGGCTCGAGCTGGGCTGGAGCAGCACAGCAGTTAAGTAGCACAGTGCTGGCTGCTCGAAGGTTGTTGGGAGGGCCGTTGTGAAGACACAACAGCTGTCAGTGTTTGGCTCTGTTCCCCTGTAGTCTAAGTGCCGGGGCTCCCTTCCCAACGTGACCCCAGAATTCTTGCCCTACCACACACCCTGAGATCACAAATTTTGTTCTCCTACCCAAGAAATACACGTCAAGGTTCAGAGAAAGACCCTGCCCCAAAAGAATCAGCTGAGAATGTAGAGGAACATGTCTGACACCTGCCTCTGGCCTCCTTGTGTGCACAGGTATACACACACACACACACACACACACACACACACACACACACACACATTCTCAATGCTTCTGCATTTACTAGGGAAAAACATGGAAGACTAGTTTTCATTAGGTCTTTAAGTCTGCTGATGTTAAGCCCTAGGCAAATCTCCCAGTTCAAGGACAGAGAAAGTTCAACCCCAGTCTCATCTGTCACAGCAATGAATAAATAAGGTCCTCTCTGGGTGTCTGAGAAACCCAGGATTCTGAGTTTATATATTTTTGCAGGAAACCGCTTTCCTTAGCTTCAGACACCTGTGTGATATCCCTTCCCCCTTCTAATTGCTCAGTCTTCCCTTTCTACTGACTTTTTGTATTTCATGTTATCCTTTTCGCACAAGTCTTTTCTGAAAGCGCACACTGAACAGCTGGTGTCTTCTTCCTCCAGTGTGACCAAGGCTCCTTTAAAGCAGAGCCCATCCCTGGGCCTAGGGGGAAAATGTCTGATGCACAGCGAGCGATAGGGCGGTAATACAGGGTGGGTAGGCGATGGCTGCGTGAACGATGGATAAGTGGTGGGTGGGCGGATGGGTGAATACAAGTATGAATGTATGCGTAAGCAAAGAGAAACTGGGTAGACCGGGCTCTCTATCACTACCCAGATAGCCTCTGTGACCCTCCTCCCCAGCAGGTGGCTCCACCCCGGAAGGGCAGTGGCTGAGTTCTCCAACCCTTCCTAGAGCCCCTGGTCTACTGACCGGCCACTTCTCCAAAGAGATGGGGTGGGGAGCTCTTGTGACCTGCTGGCGATGCTCAGCCCTGCTGCCTACCTTTCAACTGGTGCTCATTTGCCCGTACTTTTGAAATAACTAGTCTACAGCCGTAAGATTCCCAGAGCCCCAACAGTGCCTTCTTGGAGAGCCTTCTGTGGGGTTTTCCTACAGGTTTCCAGTTTCGCAACCTTCTAGGTTCGTTCCTAAAAGGTTAAAGCTAAGGAGCATGTGCCCCAGGCTTCATCACTATTATTTTCAAATAATCCAAAGGCAAAGTTCTTTTTATCAGGAGCCAGGGGAATTGAGAGAGGGTGCTGCTGTGTAGACCAGAAAAGCCTCAAGCATGCAGCAACACTACAGTCTTCGCCCTCTGAGTGCCGGAACTATGGGTGTGTGGAACCATACACAGCCAGCTACAAGATTGTCAAATAATAAGTTTTTGGGGGGTTTGTTTTTTAATTTTTCTTTAGATATAGTCCCTGGGTTTTTAATAAAGCATAGAAAAGAGTTAGCGGTTGTGGGTCTTCGACAGTATGGTACTGTCCTTTTTCACTCTGGATTGTCGTGGAAGTGAGTGACGTTTGTGGTAGAGCCTTTCTGAGAACACAGTGCTCCAGGGCACTAGGTGCAGGTGAACGATTTCCACAGTCTTAAGGGGTCCCTGCAACTCTGGCAGGCACCAGAAAGAGCAGCTACCGTATGAACAGCCACATTTCAACCCTGAAGCTTGATTCTTGATCCTAAGCCCCTCTTGCATCTGGTGAGCTTGGACACGTAGCCCCAGCAAAGAGGTCTTCTGCTGGCACAGGGCGTGATGGGATATCTGTGTTAAGGGAGACCTAGTTTCCTCCAGCACCTCCTGCAGAGGACATAACTCCAAATCTGGTTTCCCCTCCTGTAGGAACAGCTTGAGAAATATGACTTCACCAAGTTCCACTCACTGAAGCCCAAGCTGATCGAGGCTGTGGACAACATGCTGACCAACAAGATCTCATCCCTGATGAGCCTCATCAGCCAGGAGGAGATGAACATGCCCACGCAGATGGTGCAGGGAGGTGCCTTTGATGGCACCACAGAGGGGCCCTTCAACCAGGGCTATGGGGAGGGGGCCAAGGAGGGTGCTGATGAGGAAGAGTGGGTTGTGGCTAAAGACAAGCCTGTCTATGATGAACTCTTTTATACCCTGTCACCCATCAATGGCAAGATATCTGGCGTCAACGCCAAGAAGGAGATGGTGACCTCCAAACTGCCCAACAGCGTCCTAGGCAAGATCTGGAAACTCGCTGACTGTGACTGCGACGGCATGCTGGATGAGGAGGAGTTTGCGCTGGCCAAGCACCTCATCAAGATCAAGCTGGACGGCTACGAGCTCCCTAACACCCTGCCGCCACACCTCGTGCCCCCCTCTCACAGGAAGTCCCTGCCAAAGGCTGACTGAGGGTGCATAGCCGGGGCGGGGGCGGGGGGGCGGCGCCTGGGCCTGAAGTCTGCTCTGCCACCGACTTGCTGGATGTCCTTGGCCAAGGCTCTGCCCTCTCCATGTCTCAGTTTCCTCATAGGTAGGTAGGTCAGGGAGGGCAGATCCTGGATGCTGGATGAGGTCCTTTTACCTCTGAAATCTCTAAATTTCTATCAAAATATTGAGAAGAGCAGTATCTAGATATGGAGATTAAAGTCTCAGAAGAAAAAGAAATTATCCAATGAAGAATGTAGGTGTGGACATAGGCTGGTGGACACAGGCTGGTGAGCTTGTGGAGTGAGCTGGAGACTCACTGGAGTCTTCAGGGCCTGTGCTGGACAGTTCATCACCGTGACCCTCTGTCCTTCAGAGGGCACCAAGAGGTATCAGAATTACCTAATTTATTTTTCTTACTGCGTTTCCTGTTACAGGGGAGGGAACAGAGCAGAGGGTTTCTGCTCTCTATAGACTGACACCAAAGAGAAGACTACCAGGTTTAAAAAAGGATATATCATGTCTGTGTGGGCCCATCCCTTCTGCAGTCCCCAGACAGCAGGCAGCCAGGTCAGGAGAACCTGCTGCCTGACCCTGCCACATTTTCCTCCCAGCAAAGCTGGATTTAGTTAGGAATTTGGAATTCATGACCTCTGTCAGCCCCTGGCCAGACCTCTTCCAAGATCATGTTGAAGTCTGAGGACTGCCTTCTCTTCCCAGTTCACCCAGTAGGTTGCAGCAGTCAGTTTTTCAGACTTGAGAAGAGACAGTTCCCATCTGTCACTAAGTGTGCCCTTCAATCATTGAATGTCCTCAAGGCTTTTTGGTAGGTGGCAGAATTTAAATTCAACAAAGCCATGGCTTGATTTGTGTGGAGTCCCAGAGCCTTTGGACCCAGGTAAAGACAGACCAGCCCCATCCTGAGCTATCAATTAAAGAGATCAGTATCTTGATGATTGATACTGTTGTTTGATTTTTAAAGGAAAAAATATGCATTTCATTATGTCTAATTGTGTTTTTCTCACAAGATGAAGCCTCTCTGCAGAAATCTTTTGTGTAACACTTTTTCTTCCAAGCTAGTGTGCTTCACATCAGGAGTGCCTATCTGGGCCCGGATTGAGCTGCATGCATACCTCCCCTGACTCTTCAGGGGTTTCCCAAGCCTGTAACTCTCTTTGACCCACTTAGTCAGGTTCAGGGTCTGCCTCCCATCACAGCACAGCAGTGACCGCATGGCCCAGCCATGACAGTACCTGAAATGAATGAATCTGAATAGTGCCCCTGAATCTTCAGAAAAAGATACTCTCATGCTTAATTGCCTGCCTCTGGCAACTTCAGGGTCAGAACTGATGATTTAAGGGAAAATGCTAAAAGCTCACACCTATTATTCCAGCACTTGGGAGGCAGATGCAGGAGGATTACCGTGAGTTTGAAGCCAGCCTGAACTACATTATTAGTGTGATGGCACTCTGCTTCAAAACCAGAAATAACATTTTTGTCACCATTCACACTCCCTATCTTACTTTCTAAATAATAGTTGTAAAGGAAACATGGTGTGCTTTTTACCCCGAGTGAGCAACATTTTGGTTATTTGGACACACAGAGGGAAATGTTTGGTCCTTGGGGCTGTAACTACATAGGCATTCCTGTGGTGTGAGGACCCTCGTGTCCAAGGGGGGGTGGTGCCTGGGAGGGCTGCCCTTCCTCCCATTTGTCTTGCTGCTTTCTCACTGCACCGTTGTCATATTATCTACATAAATATAAGCACAAACGTATGTCTCATGAGTCTGTCTCTAAAGTGTGTCCATGTGTTCTGTGTGGAGATGACCAAGTTGCTTCTGTACAGAACAGCTGTAGAGTTGTCCTGGACAGGGACAGCGGGCTGAGATTTGTGGGATCTCCTTCCCTGCTTCTCTCTGTCATCTGCCGGGATAAGCCTGGCAGCTGAGCCTACCCTGCCCTGACCTGGTGATGTCCTTGGGCAAAAAGCAACCAGAGCTCTACTTGCCGAATATTCTCCTGTTCATAAGTTTGCCAGAAAGAAAACCACCAGAGATGGTGATCAAATGAAAGATTGTATCTTCCCAGGACCAACGCACAGTTCCTAGACTGTTCAAAGCACTCCCTCCTGCCCGCTGCATCTGCTCACTTGGACTGTATTGCCCTACCCTCATGTGTTAGTTCTGTACGTGTCACAGAAATACTTGATAGAATTCAGTTTCGACGAGGGAAAGTTTAAATTGGCCAACTGAGAGAATTCAGCACAGAGGTCAGCAGTGGGCTAACTGCCGCATCACCGTGTGCAGAGGTCAGGCAGGAGGAGCACATGGCAAAGGAGGCCATTGCCCCTTGGCAGCCGAGAAGCGGAGACCCAAAGGCATGCCTCAGGGACCTGCTTGCTTATCCCCCCATCTTCATCTGTGGAGAAATCCAGAACCCTTATGACCCAGTCAACTCTCTGCTGACCGAGCCTTCAGTACATTCCATATCTAACCCCCCATATCAGATCACCCCAGTTCTCAAAGAAGCCACCTCAGAGTGTTGACAGACAAGAGGGAAGGGAGAAGTGTGTAGTCTGTGACTGTACACCTGCTGTGTGCTCTCAGTGAAGGAAGGGAGGTGAAGCCTCCCTTCAGCCAGCTCCCGCCATTCTCACCTTGCAGTGAAGACCTGCTGAGCCCAAGGAGAAAGAAGCCATGCTTAGACATGTGGACATAGCCTGGCTCTTGGGCTAGGCAGATGGCCAGGTACCATCACGTCATGCCCATCAGCAGGATCCCAGAACAGGTAGCCTGAGTTTAGTCAGGTATTCCAGGGCCCCATTCAAGAGGATGTCAGGTTACATAGTACTCAGCAACAGAAAATCACACAGTGCTTCTGTTTTTAAAAACTTTTATTTAAGAGTGTCAGTCCCCACTGGCTCAAGCTTCTTGTAACTGTGCCCGCTTTTCAAGAGGACGGTGCTCTCTCGGGTCTATTTTGAAAGGAGATGGAAGAGTCTAGAAAGGCATGCCTCTTCTTCATGCCATCCCTGTGGCCCCAATTCCTCCTGCAGCCTTTCTGGGGAAGAGAGTTCACAGTGAGTCACATCACTGGGGGGGGGGGGGGGGGGGGGCGGACCCTACCCAGGCTCACGACCCCACCTGGGGGAGCGTAGGAGCCCGGGGGGATGGACTGTGGAGGGGGGGCCTGCTGGGGGTGGGGGTGGGGGTGGGGCATCGCTGAGCACATCCCTGAGACGCAGACCTATCTCTCACACACCTCAAGTTCCTCTGCCTCTCAGGTCTACATCACCTGCAGCCGCCCTTGGACTTTTACCACTGTCACCCACAGATTCTTGTGATGATGCCAACCTGCACTGTCATTTGGCACAGCACAGTAATTTTTCACTCTTCTCCAGAGCCATGATGTCTGGGTAGAGTAGACCTCTCCCCTTTTTCCAAGATGGATCCTGATTAGCTTAAGCCAATCAGAGTAGTCCATTCATCCTAGTCACAGACACAAGTACAAAAATATATATGGGCCCCAATTCAGTTCTCAAGAGCCAGCACTTAGGAAGATGTCTGTATATTCCCTCCTGTCTAGAACTGTAATGTAAAGCAGCCTTGGTAAAATGCTATCAATAGCACCGAAATGAGGGGAGCAGGGGGGAGGCTGGGCTGACAGGGAGGAGGCATTTAGCAAGGCATAGAAAACCCAGATCTGCAGTGACATTTTTGGGATACTAGGTCAAACGGCACCTGAAGCCCTTTTCCTACTAGACTTTTTCAGCTATGGACCAATACACTCCATCTGAATGGTTTAATCTAGCTCAAATAGAAAGCTCAGTCTCTTGGCAAAGATTCCAGAGGCCATTGACCTTTCACAGGTACAATATGCAGTGGCTTTAGCTACCACTGAGCCAGGGAAAGGTGTGGGGAAGAGGGAGAGCAGTCCTTTAGTCCCATCCAACAACTCCTTTATTTTTAAGATTTGTTTAATTTTTTAAAGATTTATTTATTTATTATTTATCCAGTATTCTGTCTGCATGTGTGCCTCTAGGCCAGAAGAGGGCACCGGATCTCATTATAGATGCTTATGAGCCACGGTGTGGCTGCTGGGAATTGAACTCAGGACCTTTGGAAAAACAGACGGTGCTCTCAACCTCTGAGCCATCTCTCCAGCGCAGATGTTTTTATTTTTATTTTTTATGTGTACAGGTGCTTGCCTGTATGAATGTGCACTGCATGAGGACCTGGTGCCTGTAGAAGCCAGAAGAAGCCACCAGATCCCCTGAACTGGAGTTGCAGTATTGCATGTAGGTGCTGGAAACTGGAAGAGCAGCCAGTGCCCTTGACCACTGAGCCATCCCTCCAGCCCCACATCAAACAACTAAACAATCACTTCTGCTTAAACCTATCAACAAAGCATCATACAGTCCTATCTAACCTCAGACCTCACATCACACAAACCTGGAGGGGCTGAGATCAGAGTCCCTCAAACGCAGAAGGCTTTTCTAATGGAGCTTTCCCTAACAGATGAGACGGGGCACCTTTAGGGTGGTATGGCTGAAGGCTTCCCCTACAAAACAGGAAGTGGACCTGAAGGACTATGGAGCCTCCTTCAGAATCTTCTTTGGTCTGGAACACCAGGCAGCCTACTCAAGAGGGCAGTAGGCTCCTTCCTGTGCTACAGTCAGGAAGTGTGAGCACCTGCCCTGGGGGTTATATATGTAACTAAACTTGGGTCCCAGTCTCTGAGATGGCTGTGTGTGAATGTCCTGTTGGCTCTGAGAGGGTAGATAGCTATATTACCTCAGGGAGGTGTCCCTGTGGCCAGGTCTCTGAGAAGAGAGAGCAGGACCTCTGACACACAGCATCTGGGAGGGGCTTGTTGCTCACAGGGAAGCTGTGAGCCGGAGCTGCTTTCCCCGGTCCCCTCACCTGTCACCACTCATCTTTCACTGGTTTAAAGATGCTAAGCTGAGCTTGTGGCCCAGATCTGCTCAGGACCTGAGAAGCTGAGCCCAGGATGCTATGGCTCGATGTGGCTGTTCCCAGGGTGGGGCTGTCAGATTGCTCCTTCCATCATTCTAGGATGGGATGCAGAAGAGGAAGTGAGCCCACAGCTTCCAGCCAGAAATCTTCGCCATGGATACCTCAGCGTCCTGCAATGTTCTCGCCAGAGCCAACAAGACCCTCACCTGCCAACAGGGGAAGCGGCCAGGGGTAGAGGATGAAAGAGGAGGACCCCTTTCAATGAGTCTAGAGCATTCTCAAGCCACCCTGTCCTGTCTGGGCCCCGCCCTTTAGCAGGTGGGAGGACAATGCTGTCTGTGTGCTGACAGGCTGGCAAAGGGGAGGGCCATGCTGTGGCTCCAAACTGACCTTTCCAGCCGCCTTTCTCGCTCCCCAAGCTCTGCTATCTGGTATCTCCATCCAGCCGTGGGGCCTCCTAGTGAGGGACGCAGGCATCAACCACCAAGGTGAGCAAGCCCTATCTTCCTTCTGCCTGCCAAAGCTAAGCCAAAGAGCAGGGGCCAATGGCAGTGGTGATAGGATAAGCAGTAGGTGTTCAGAGAAGAATCTGGGAATTGGGTTTGGGGGGGGGTGACTTCTAGGTCATTCAAGTGCAGGCTACCAGTCAGGTTTCATACTTGCTTAGGCCCCAACCCATAATTTCTATCGTTCACGGAGACAATATGTCAGAACTCAGACTCTTGGTGGGAGGGAGGGTCATCCGTCTCTGCAGCCTCCACGACCCCATCATCTCCAGACACGGAAATGTCCAGTTGCCATTCACCCTCAAAGAGGTGCAGGCTCAGGCTAGTTGCCCCTTCATCCCAACAGCTCCTTAGCAGCAGTGTCCCTGAGGAGGAGACCAGGCCCACAGCTTGGCCCTGCTGAGTCCATGTTTGACCATGGACTGTGAGTATGAGATTGGCCATGTCCGAAAGCTCCAGGCTCGGCATGCGCAGATGCAGGAGAAGACCTTTACCAACTGGATCAATAACATCTTCCGATTAGGCCGGGTAAGTAAGGCCTGGGCAACTCCAGTTCTGGCCAGTGGCCTGCTCTGTGGTCATCTGCCTGTAGCTATTCTGGCCTGCCCCTTCCAGGCTTTAACACGGGGTTGGCGGGCGATGCTGAGCTGACCCCACATCTGTCCCAATCCACTCCTCAGGTGGGCATCAGGATCCAGAACCTGTACACGGAGCTTGCTGACGGTGCCCACCTCCTTCGGCTGTTGGAGCTTATCTCTGGGGAAGCCCTACCGGTGCCCAGTCCAGGCCACCTTCGTGTACACTTCCTGGAAAACAACAGCCACGCACTGGCCTTCCTCAGGGCCAAGGTTTGTTCTGGGAAGGTGTTTCTGGGTGAACATCTAGGTGAGGAGGAAGCAGAGGTCATCTGTATGAGAGCTACGCCTTAGGCAGAGTGGGAGATCTGGGCCTGAACACTGGAGGTGGCTGCAAAGCTCTCCCTGCACAGTGACCTTGACTTAGACAGCCACCAGCTGGCCACAGCAGGAACAATCTTCATCCCCATCAGGATTCAAAACAGCACTGTCTAATAAGGGAGGATTGCAGGGTTCCTCAATGAAAGAATCTGAGTGTTCTTAGCCTTCTCATTTCATAAACCTGGACATGTAGATCCAGAATGACTTAGCTGGCATGATCCATCATCAGCCAAGTAGCCAAGCCCAGGGGTGCCCTCGAGAGGCTGGCATAGACTGGAGGAAACGAAGGGCATATCCCAGCCGTAGGTCCAGGCAAGGGGAAGAGTTGTAAGACCCCTCTCTCGAGAAGGGTTTCAGGAAGACACTAGAGTCACCTGGGAAAAAGACTAGCCAAAGAGATGGTCATTAAAAAAGAGGCAAGAGTTTCCATGGCTCAGAGGGACCCCCATGGCTGGTGCTGCTGGGCTGTGCAGGGCCCTTTTACATTGGTGAACTGGCCGCTGGCCTCAGGCACCAAGGCTGTGAAGTAGCTGACCCAGAAGCTGTAAAGCCACGGAGACCGCCCAGCTAGGCCGAGCCTAAGTATATGTGACTCCTGTGTCCTGATGGAGGTGACATGCATCACCCTGGAGTCTGGAAGCAAAGGGGAGACAAAAGCCACTGGAGGGGAAGCCACTGTGGTTCCCCAGAGCCTGAGGGAGCAGGAAGCCAGGCTGTGTTCAGATCCAGGGGCAATGGCCCTGGGAGCTAGTTATTCCCTCCAGGAATCTAGGATGGGTGTGAGCCATCCATATATGGACATACATACACATACATATATGGACACACATACACATATATAGACACATACTGCACATACCACACACACACACACACACACACACACACACACACACACACACCCCACTATTACCACCGCACCAAAGTCCTGGGTATTTGCTGATTTCCTCCCGCCTCGATCAAGTTCATTGATCAGCTGATATTGCTAATCCCAAAGCTGGGAGAATTGACTCCTCTCTTTTGCTCAATGTCTTGCCAAGCTAAGGTGAATACAGAGGAGTGAACGGGCCAGGGAGAGAGGGAGGTGCATTCTCCAGGTGCCAATGGGGTGTGACAGAGTACACCCACAGGTATAATGCCCAGTGATGTTCCTCTCTCAAGGCTAGCGGTCAGCTCCTGGCTGTTCTGGTCTCATAGAGGGTCTCCCTTTGTTATTGTCTGGTGTACGTCAGTTCTACTAGGAACTGAAAATGAGGGAACAAAACCAAAGCCCCCACAATGGCAGGGATGGGGGCAGATGTTTAGGTGGAAGAAAAATGCAGTCAAATACAGAGTTTCTAGTAAGCCATGTTGAGAAAACGACCCCAAAGTAGAGGCTTAAAGGAAGAAAGGGGATAAGCATGTGGATGTCTGGAAATGTGGGGGTTAATACTTTCCGATACCCGGGACAACCAGCCTATGCAAGGACACCGGGGCCCGTGTTAGAGTCAGGCACCAGGGATGCCACAAGCAAATCCTGACCTCAGAATTCCTCAGCTTCGTGTCACGTGATTCAGGGCAACAGGCAGATCCTGGGAGGCCCTGGTGTGTACCTGTCCTGATTAGCCAGTCCTCCTATCTAAGGAGCAAGATCTAGACCAAAGGTTTCACCCAGCAGATTCCTGAGCCCGGGCTCTGGGGAATATGACTGGGTGGAGCTGGGGACTCTGAACTTCTAATAGTTCTGTTGGAGATAAAGCACTGACCGAAGACTGGGGTTTGGGGGTGTTCCAGGGACCCAGGCACCCCCCCCCCGAGATGCAGCAGCGCTAAGAGAAGGAGGCAGACACAGGCTGTTATCTGTTTAGCTCACCCGAGAATTTGCATTTCCAATGCCACACCTGAGGGCCCTCTACCCAGTGGCCCAGTCTAGTTTACCTGTTTAGAGAGCACTTGTGGGGGGCCTGGACTGTCATCCCAGCTGTTTGGAAAGCCATCTTTTCTCTGGCGTTGTTCCCTGCCTGCTCTCCCCTGAGGAGCCCTGCCTGAGGGAGGCTGGACGAGCCCTCCATCTCACGGCCTTGTTCCCCAGGAACATAGGCTTCATGGTTCAGCCCAATCAACTGTGCCCACAGGTGCCTATACCCTTCGTTGGGCCAGAGAACATTGTGGATGGAGACCAGTCACTCATCCTGGGACTCCTGTGGGTCATTATTCTGCGTTTCCAGATTTCCCACATCTCCTTGGACAGGGTATGTCTCAGGCTCCCATGCCTCAAGCCCAGCCCTGGCTTCCCCTCAAGCCTCTGGGATGGAGCCGTTTCACCCATGTTAATGAACACACAGCAGACCATTGGTGTTCATTAAATGAATATTGACCCTTCGTCCAGGGGCAAAGAACCCAGGATGTTGCCGTGTGCTAAAATAAGAACTAGAGTCGGGGATTCATACTGACTGGGGACAGGTCACTCACTGGTGAGGGGCAGGGTGGCTGGTCATCAAGCACTTTCATTCCTGGACTGGCATTTGCCATCTTCACTAGGGCATAATGCACCACCAGAGGAAATTAGATACATAAAGGGACTCCAGTTCAGAGGTTTCCAAGGTCCCCGTGATCTTGAATACCACTGAGATGGTATTTTCATGGTCTCCATCTTCCCTCCTTTTCCCTTATACCTAGCTCAGAAAATATGAGTATAATGTCCTCACATCTGTCAAATTTCTGGTTTTATGAATTCCAAAGTACTACTCCTAACTCTATGCCAGTGGGTTGGGTAATCCAAACTGGAGAGTGCGACCCTAATTTAAAAAAGAAAAGAAAAGAAAAGCCATGGATTTAACACACCCAGAAAGCCCTTCAAAACTCACCATGTGAAGGCCCATGAATTGATTCAGAGGGTTAAAGATGCTTGCTGTTAAAGCTGACAGCCTGAGTTCTATTCCCAGCACCCTCTGCAGCCACCTTCAGGCCTTCTCCCTGATTTTATCTGGGATCCTGGGCATTGTCCTAGCTTCTGTGGCATGCTTCACTGGCACCACCAGGGGAGATTAAATACATAAAGAGAGTCCACCTCAGTGGTGTACAGAGGTACAGTAACTGCCATAGAGGACGGAGAGCTGAGATGAAAAGCCTGTGGCCTGTCCTAAAGAAAGCCTGGGGTGGCAGGACTGTGGTGAGCCCCATCTTTCATACTGAGGCCTCAGGTCAGTTAGCTCCATGGCTGGCCATCAGAAGGGCTGTTGCTAAGTAACAGGAGCAGATACATACTTACTCTTCTGGGGTTAGCTTTATTAGGAAGAAGGGTCTTGAGACCATGACCGGGCCATGAGGTGGGAAAGCAGGAGAAAGGAACAGTCCAGTATACTAACAATAGCATAATAGGGCCTTAAGGGGGAAAAGATAACTTCCTTTTGAAAACCTAAAGCGTTAGACCGTTGGAACTATACCTTAGCCCTGATCACACAGCTGAATCAGGCCACACCTTCTTATCCATGGCCGTGGCTTGACAGCGCTCAATGTATGATGTGTGACTCCTCTATGTTCCCGGTCACATATGCTGCTGAGCTTAGTCACCATCGCTAAAGGTTATTTAAAAAAAAAAAAAAAATCAGACATTTCCTTTGCCCTGAGAATTCATCTGAGACCCCTTGGGAAGACTGCTTGGGGATTTGGTCCAGAGACAAAGGTTGCTATGTGATGAGGCTCCTCTGGCCTTCCCCCACCTCCCTTTCATGGAGAATGTCAATGTGACCCTGAAGGTTCTGATACCTTCCACCCATCCCACATTTTTACCACGCTGCCCTGTGTTACCAGGAGGAGTTCGGGGCCAGTGCAGCTTTGCTGTCCGCCAAGGAAGCGCTGTTGGCATGGTGTCAGCGGAAGACGACCAGCTACACCAATGTGGACATCACTGACTTCTCCCAGAGCTGGAGTGATGGGCTGGGCTTTAATGCCCTCCTCCATGCTCACAGGTGCATCTTAGAGCCCGAGCCTCCACCCACTGAGCCCAGAGGCCCCCCCCCCCCCGTAATGGAATCCCACCTGCTCTTCCAAACGCCCTCTGCACCCAGGGCCTGGAAAGAGGGGAACAAGTGGGCCATGAATAGAGAGTACCTAGGTCTGAGCATTAATAAATGGAGAGTACCCTGCTCTAGGCCTGCCCCTCCTCCTTCCCTGAGGTGCCAGAGTCATCAGCTTTGCCTCTGCCCTTTGGGGATGCCCACCCCATCCTGTGTCCTAGCCCCTCAGCCACATTAACCCTCCCTCCTATCAAGTCCTGCTTATACTCCAGCCTGAGACTTGCAGAGGAAAACACCAAGCAGTGGGTGGCTAACATAAGCCAAAGGCTTCTCTGAGGAACCTTCCTGCTCTGCCCAGGCCGGACCTGCTGGATTACGGCTCACTGAGCCCAGACCGCCCTCTGCACAACCTCTCCTTTGCCTTCCGAGTGGCTGAGCAGGAGCTAGGCATTGCCCAGCTGCTGGACCCTGAGGATGTGGCGGCCCTGCATCCAGACGAACGCTCCATCATGACCTACGTGTCCCTGTACTACCACTATTTCTCCCGCCTGCACCAGGGGCAGACAGCCCAGAGGAGGCTGGTTAAGGTTGGTGATAAACAGAGGCAGGTTCTTCTGACTGGCTATCCAGATGCCTTACTGGCTCCATGGCCTTGGCCAAATTGCCTCACTTCTCTGTACTCTTGTGACATGGAGGTGACAACTCCTGAACAACAGAAGGCTGTTTGGGTATCCAAGAGAGTAAAGTATAGCATGGTGCCTGACATATATGAGAAGCCAGGGAAGTGGTATTCTGGTCTTCTGCCTCCATTGCCCTCAAAAACTGTTGAGCTTCTAATGGGATTAAAAGGCTTAGAGAGCTGAGTCTTCAAGGACAGGCACAGAAGAGGCTCTTTGGAGCAGGCGCTACACTGAGTCCATGTTTTTAGGGGGCTCTCTCACGCTGTGGATGCGATGGCAGAGGCCAAGACCTGGAAAGGCTGTCCTCAGGGTTAGTGTCTTAATGTTGGTGTGGGGCCAAGGATGGTAAGCACATTTAGAGAGTGGGGCACAGGGAGTAAAGGGCAAGAGGACTCAGAGAGGAACTGCAGAGGAGGCCAAAGGGGGATAATTAGATGGAGGAAGGCAAGATGTGGCCGCAGTCCAGTTGTGGAGAGAGTACTGCAGACTCCTGGGTATGCATGTAAAATGCTCTTGCCCCTCTGTGGGGTGCAACAGGAGCTATTTTAGTGCACCCTCACCGGAGAGGAGGAGTACCAGCTGACCTGGACGGCTTGGGCTGGCACTTAGCACCCAGTGGCGGGGCTTCGTTCTGAGGCCCGCCAGAGGTGCAGCCTGACCTGAATGTGCTCTGCCCTCCACCAGATCCTGTTGCAGCTGCAGGAGACAGAGGCGCTGCAGGCTCAATACGAGCAGCTGATGGCTGATCTGCTCTCCTGGATCGCAGAGAAGCAGGTGCAGCTGGAGGCTCGGGATTTCCCAGACACATTGCCTGCCATGCGCCAGCTACTGGCAGCCTTTGCCTCCTTCCATGCCCAGGAAAAGCCACCTCGGCTGCAGCAGCGAGGAGCCACAGAGGCCCTGCTGTTCCAGCTGCAGACAACACTCCGAACCCAAAACCGAAGGCCATTCCAACCTCGAGAGGGCCTGGGCCCTGCAGAGCTGGCCCAGCACTGGGCGGAGCTGGAGAGGGCAGAGGCCTCCAGGAGCCAGGCCATGCAACAGAGGCTGCTCCAGCTGGGACGGCTGGACACTCTGGCCTGCCGCTTCCAGTGCAAGGCAGCCCTCCGGGAGAGCTTTTTAAATGAGGCAGAGCAGATGCTAGAGCAGGCCAGAGCCTCCCTCACCGACCCAGCCGAGGTGGAGGCAGCCACCCAGAGGCTGGGCATGCTGGAGGCTGGTATCCTGCCCCAGGAAGGGCGCTTCCAGGCCTTGGGCGAGATCGCAGACATCCTCCAGCAGGAACAGTATCACAGCTGGGCAGATGTGGCCCGCAGGTGAGCTCTAAGCAAGTAAACCTATCCTCACAATAAGCCAGAGCCTCGCTACAGCCCTCAGAAGGGTGCGGTGGTTTGTGGAGTCAGGACTCCCTCTAAAGAGGTAATCTCCCACAGATGCACAAATTCACAGCCAGCTGTAGCTTATCCCTTCTGGTAAAGCAGGGTTCTTTCTGGGTAGTCACTAAACAGGTGCCTACTCAGTGCCCACAGCATCCTACACACTACTATCAAATATTTAGCAGTGCTGTGGGCCAGCAAAAATTCCCTTCTAAAGCTGAAAGCACTCAAGGAAAACAAGAAAGAAAAAAAATCAACCAAGCATGTGAGAGCAGTTTAAAAAACAGTGGCTGGGCCAGGTGTGAAGGCACACGCCTTTCATCTTAGTACTTGGAAGGCAGAGGCAGGCAGGTCTCTGTGATCGCAGGGCTAGCCTGGTCTCCATAGCAGGCCAGCCAGGGCTATGTCTTGATACCCTCCCTCAGCAAACAAACAAACAACAAGTGAGCATCTGGAGTCTAGCTCAGTGGTAGGATATGTGGAGCCTATGCTTGATTCAGCCCTCAGAAAAGCAAACAAACAAACAAAAAGGCAAATAAAAACGCTGCAGGCCAACACAGGAGGATGTGGCAGAGTTCACCAGAGAAGAGCCCCTGGAAGTTGGCTTGAACCAGAGAGAAGTGAGGGAGCTGGTCATGCATGTATGGGGAACAGACTGTCCTGAGTAGACAGAATGTCAAGAACAGCTCCCCAAAGTGATTACACAGCTTACAGTAGCCCAGGGGTAGGGGATCAGGGCGTAACTAAGTCACAGGAGATGAGGCCAGGAAAGAAGAGGGATGGAGGTCGGGCTGGGCCTTGAACTCACCTGGATGCTGGGGCAGGTTGAAGGGCAAAGGCCCATTTAGCTACGGAGCTGGAGTACAGTCCTGGGTGAGGTGACAAAGCGGTGGCGTTCTCAGTACAGCTTTCTATTTCACTTCTGAGGTAGGGTCTCACAGAAACAGAACTCACCATGAAGACCAGGCTGGCCTCAAAACTGGCAGTTTGGCCTCTCCTCCCACACCCTGAGATTACAGGTGTGACTGCCCAGGTCAGTGGATATGTTCTGAAGATACTACCAGACAGGATTTGCAAACAGATCAAAGTTAGGGAACTGAGCTGGCATGATTCTAAACATCTGTGTGCCTGGAAAGACAGTTTTTATCCACAGAGATGGAAGCTTGACAAGAGGGGCGCGCGCGCGTGCGTGCGTGTGTGTGTGTGTGTGTGTGTGTGTGTGTGTGTGTGTACATCTGAACCTTTCTGGCTCCCTTCTGATAGCGAACACACCCTCCCAACCACGACAGGCTGTTCACATCCATACCCTACCCGGCTCGAGAGGCACCCCTGTTCCAGGACAGCCAAGCGGATTCCCTGCGCTAGCCTGCCTTAGACCATCCTTTCCTCTTCTTATCTAGGCAGAAGGAGATCACCGGGCGCTGGCGGAAGCTCCTGCAATGTCTGCAGGAGCAGAGGAAGCAGGTGGCGGGCACGCAGGCAGTGCTGAGCCTGCTGCGGGCGGTGGAGGCTGCCACGGGCCAGCTTGGGGAGCTGCAGGTGGGCAGTCGATGAGCGGAACTCCGGGAGGGCCTCTCCCAACGCTGCTGCCCACAAACACCCAGCACCTGGAAATGCACTGACCACCCGTCTCTGCCCAGGTGTTGGCCAGCTCCACAGCCTGCGGCCAACAGCTGGCAGAAGCAGCTGTGCTGCTGCAGAGGCATGACCTGCTGGAGGCCCAGGTCTCAGCCCACAGGACCAACGTGAACCGTCTTGCCCGCCACACGGCACAGCTGGACTCCTCCCGGGGCACCAGCGTGCAGATGCTGCAGGCTAAAGCCCTGGCCCTGACAGAGCTCCACCACAGCCTGGTGTCTCTTGTCAGAGCCCGGTGAGTCTGCCCCAACTCCTCAACCCTCTGTAGAACTTTCCTATAACTTTATCTCCAGCCCAAGCAGAAATCCTGCCGGTCTGCCAGGCAACCTTCTCTGCGCCCGAGCCCACAAGCCTCCGTCTTATTTGTTAAGCCATTCTGGGAGAATGCTGCCCAAGGGACGCATGTCTGACGCAAGTGGGCAACCCCCTCCCCATGCTCTGCCCCTCGCCGAACTCTTTCATGTCCCTCTCTGTCCCCCAGACGCGTCCTGCTAGAGCAGAGCCTGCAGCGGGCACAGTTCTTGCACAGCTGTGAGGAGGAGGAGGCCTGGTTGCGGGAGCACGGGCGGCTAATGGAGACGGCAGCGCTGGGCCGGGACCTCACTCAGATCGCTACCGCTCTGCAGAAACACAAGGTGTCCACTCTCGCTCTCTGACATCCCGGCCTCCTTACCAGTCAGGCTCGGGACTGCCGGGCGTCACCCTCTCCCTCCCCAACCCCGCCAGGCTCTGGAAACCGAACTCCATCGCCACCAGGCTGTGTGTGCAGATCTCATGCAGAGGGGACGCAACCTCAGTGTCAGAGGGACCCCGACACAGCCGGACCCCCTGGAAAGGGCGGAAGCAGTGCAGGGAACTTGGCGGCTGCTTTGGACTGCAGCCACAAGGCGGCGCGCCCGGCTGCAAACAGCGCTGCTGGTTGGGCAGGTAGAGCGCGCGAGGCTGGGCGAGGCGCGTGGCGGCTGGGCTCGCCGGCCCCTGCTAGCGCTCAGCCCTTCCCACCTCCCCCACAGTACTTTTCTGACTCAGCCGAGGCGGCTTCTTGGCTTCTCCTGCGGCAGAAGCAACTGGAAAGCGCATCCTGCGGGAAGGACCAGGTAGACGCCGAGGCCCTGTTGCAGCGCCACCTGCGCCTGGAGCAAGGCGTGAGCGCCTTCGCGGCGGAGTTGCGGGAGCTGGAGGATCAGGCTCGGGCTGCTGCAGCCCTAGTGTCACACACGGTGCGAGAGCATGGAAAGGAGCCAGGCTCATGCCTCCTACGCTAAATGGGAGGTCTCTCCGGGGCAGCGGTGCTGTAGGCTCCTCCCCCAATGAGGGTCTTTGTGGCCCTGCCCAAAGCTGGTCATGCACCACCCACCACCTACCCAAACCTCCCCACTACCCCACCCCCCCATCCCGAAACCTCCACCGCTGCTCCCATCTCCAGTTATAGGTCATTTGGAATTCTGTCTGTGTAAACCAGGCCACCAAACACAGCTGGGCTTGGCTAGGTCTGCCCAGATCTGAAGTCACTATTAGTTTCTTAATTAGAAATCCTCAAAGAAGGCTCACATCCCTCTAGCCCTTCTCTGTCCAGCTCTGTCCCTTACACCCTTTAAGCTGCATTTAGGGCCTCCACATGGCTTCACCCAACCTGGCCATACAGTTGGAAGGCTCAGGCCTTTTCCTTTGTGTTTACTCCCAGGTCACATGATTAATCCTTTTTTTTTTTTTTTTTAAAGATTTCTTTATTTACTGTTTATACAGTATTCTGTCTGCATGTACACCTGTATGCCAGAAGAGGGTACCAGAGCTCATTATAGATGGTTGTGAGCCACCATGTGGTTGCTGGGAATTGAACTCAAGACCTCTGGATGAACAGACAGTGCTCTTAACCGCTGAGCCATCTCTGCAGCCCCCATGATTAATCCTTTTGAAAACAGATCTGTGGTCTCTTTCAAAGGGGCCTTTTGATTCCTAGTCCAAGGCTTTTTCTAACAACGCCCCCCCCCCCCCAGCACACACACACACACACACACACACATCCCTGGCTGGGCTGTGATACCCCTTCATAGGAACACAATGCATTTTACAGGGCAATAGTGGTGTCTTCCCGCACTGTGAAGTCGGCTTTCCCAGAGTGTCACTTAATAATGGGAGCTATGGCGTCCCTTTTTGTGTGTCCTCTATCCCCACCTGATGTAGGCAAAGCTAGGCCTGGCTCCTGGCCTTTTCAGTCTTTGCTTTTTCCACTATTGGAGGAGAGGCACAGAGTTTGCCCTTCTGCCCGGTGGCGAGCCACGTGGTCACCTAAACAGAACCTTTGCCCCTCTCTACAGGAGGAACCTCCGGAAGACTGGAAAAGGCTTGACAGAATTGGAGGACCTAAGCATGAGACCGAAGCTTCAGCAGCCCCAAGCAGCCAATGTTTATACCAGCGGATGTCCTCCGCCAGAGGTACAAGGTCACAGACCCCAAACGAAAGCCTAAAGTCTGTCAGCAATGAGAAGGTCACACATCTTCCCTGTGGCTGTCTGGGGCGTCCCCAAACAAACAAACAAATAGAAGAAGTTCAGGGGAAGCTCATTTGAACTCAGCAGAAAGGAGTAACTGGAGTCATCAAAAAAAAAAAAAAAAAAACACCCTGTGTCACCCAGGGCAGCATGTCCCTGCCTCTGTCTCTAGACAGCCACAGGAAGGGGGTTGTCACACCAGCAAGGTTTAGATGATGTCAAGGTTTAGGTCATGTCGGTTCTGTAGAGTTTGAAATTCTCCGGGTCTTCCTCTGATCTCTTTGTTTTCCTCCCCTTTCTGTATCTACTCTTTTACTATGCCTGTATGCAATTTCTGAGCGGTCTGCTGCTGCTGTCCACACTTGCCCAGGGACGGAGGACAGAAAGATAGACATGGGTTGTCCTCTCATTCACAGGGAGGGGCACTGGCCTGTGCTTCCTCTCTGCCTAGCTCCTGCCACCACACACCTTCCCTTCCCCTCTGCGACTATTCTTTTTTCTGTCAGACTCCAGTGGGCCTTGCCTTGCCCTGTTTAAATACCCAGACCATCTGGCCTTTCTTCCCCCTGGGCACCCATGGTACTTACTTCATGTAATGACACGCCTTTCTACCCAAGTGTAGCCCCAGATAGTGTCCTACCTGTTCCGGGTCTGTGAGCTCTGCAGTCCTGAGAGACCCTGAGCCCCAGTGGGAAGGACCGGTGGTCTCTTCACACAGAATCAGGCATGGGGAAGCAATAGGTTCTGGGTGACCTTGGCCCACCTTGTGGTGAGCTACTGGGTAGGGAAGAGGAGGGCCCCAAGCAGCCCTTGAATCCAGTGCTTTTAGGACAGTATGTGTCTCTCGGCTTCCAGAAGAGACCCTGGAAACAAATGCCCGGGAGCTGAAAGACTTGGGGAACAACCAGAGCAGGATACCCGTCATTCACACCACAGAGAAGAAGCCCCAGGTACCACAGGCCCCATCTTGGTGGAGATCCTGTCACTCGATAAGAGCTGGGTGTGGACACACTGCCTTTTTTCTACACAGGTGGTGTCCGCCCTGGGCCTTCTAGGGGAAGGCCCACGGGCAGCTCTCCAGGCTGAATATGACTTTGACTTAAACTCTAATGCCATACTCCAGACACAGGCTCACTTGAGCCAGAACTATGAAAACCTAAGGGCCCTGGCAAAGGTAATGCTCTTCGTTCATGGAATATTTATAGGTGAGCATGTGTCATATGCCTGGATTCCCAGCTGCCCTAAGGGCTGAGGTGGGAGGATTATCTAAGTCCAGGTAGCCATGACCAGCCTGAGAAACACAAGCCGAAAACCCCAAAAAGTGAAATCATGCTTGCCTGGCAGACCTGAGGTCCTAAGGTTCAATTCCCTGCACCGGAAGAAGGGAGGGAGAGTTATTATGCCCCTACCACAAGCAGTATTCTCAACCCGTGGGTCACTCCTCTTTTGGGCTCAAACAACCTTTTCATGGAGTTTGCATATCAGATAGCTTGCCTACCAGATATTTACATTATATTTCATAACAGCAGCAAAATTACAGTTATGAAGTATCAATATAAGTAATTCTACGGTTGGGGTCATCACTACAAATGAGGGACCTGTGTTAAAGGGTCGCAGCGTCAGTAAAGGTTGAGACCCACCGAGCTAGAGTCTGTCTTATGATCCCAGGAACACAGCAGTGACTGATGTGTTTCCTGCCATAAAGGAGTTTACATTGTGACTAAGATTTCGTCAGTCTTTAAATGGCTGTGGTATGGGGACTGGAGAAGGTTAGCTAGGGGTCAGGATGACACCTTCGAGGAAGGGATATGTAAACAGAGACATAAGACAGATCCAAGGGCAGGCAATCCTGGGAAAGCCAGTTGGGTCCTGAGAAAAAGCTGAGGAAAGGCCTGAGGAAGGAGGCTGAGGCCCTGAAGCTCTGAGAGTAGTGAGGCAGCAGCTAGAGCAGAGCCTTGGGGGGTGGGGGGGGTGGCATGCGGGCTTCAGGACATTGAGCAAATAAGAAGCTAACCCAGAAGTGGGTCTTTCATGGCAACCCTCAGCTCTCACCAGCTCCCTCTGCTACCTATCAAGGGGCAGATGTGACACAATTGTGGAGTAGAGACTTGATCCTCTTAGTGGCTTGGGGTGGACAGGGGCACATCCCAGACCTCTCCGCCCTCCCGTGGGGCCACAGTCCCTTCACCCTGACCGTGGCTGTCTCCTCAGTTTCACAGGGCCCGACTGGAGGAGGCAGTAGCTCTGTTTAGCTTCTACAGGTCCTGTAGAGAGCTCCAGCGCTGGCTAGAGGAGCGGACCGCCCTGCTCCAGACACTGCAGCCCCGGGGTGACAGCTTAGAGGCCACCCAGCTTAAATATGAGGTAAGCCACTAGCTAAGGGAGACCAGAGTTCCCACCACCCTGGCCTTGCCTCACTGTTTTGCCCCATTCTCCACATTTGCTCCAGGCCTGTCTGGGGAGGGTCTAAAGCCGTAGGCCTGACTGACTCTGAGGGCTAATGACTCAGATGCTCCCTTCTCAAGCCAGCAAGATAAATGTCTTAGAACTAAGCATCCCAAAACCCTTTGTGGCCCAAAGTAGGTGTGGGGAGAGAAGAGGCTGCCTCCCAGAGCCCTGGGTCCTCCTTCTCCTCAGAACTTTCTCACGACCTTGGCCACTGGAAAAGGCCACTGGGCTGAGGTCATCAGCGCTGCTGAACAACTGAAGCAGAGGTGTCCAGGACACACCTTGAAAATCCAACAGCAACAGGAGGACCTTCACCAGAGGTGACGATAAGGGGATGAAGAGTGAGGCAAGGGCCCTTGCTCAGTGCCTCCTACCATACAGGTGGGGAGGCTAGCTGGTATCATCGCCTTCTAGGCTAGAGAAGGGAGAGCCACCAGCCTAGAAGCTTCCTGTCAGGCTCTGTCCAGGGCCTCAGATGGGTAGGTGACATTGTGCATGAGAGGTGTCCTTCTGATGGATACATCCCTGTATCCTCTGCTCAGGTGGCAGCAGCTGGAGGCCCTGAAGGAGGAGAAAGGCCGACAGCTGACACGTGGCATGGAGATGTGCCATCTTCTACAGGAGTCTGGACCCATACGAGCCCAACTGCTAGATGTGATAGGCAGGCTGGAGGTTCTGGGGCCAGGAGGCTCTGAGGGCAGCCATTGTACCCTGCAGCAGACCCAGCAGAAGATCGTGGCATTGGAGAAGAAGATCTCATACCTCCAAAGGGCAGCCACAGAGTACGGCCAGCTTTAGAATGGTGATGGTGGTCAGGGAGTCAGTGAGGACAGAAGGATGCCCTAATAAAATGAGGGAGGGGACAGGAACTGGGATGGGGAGAAGGTGGCCAAGGTGTGCTATTGGAAGGGTGCGGGCAGAGGCCAGAGACTGTTGGCATGAGAATGTGCTCCTCTCATGACCTGACCAGCAGGTCAACCTTCCTAGACAAGCCTCGAGTGGGAGGGCCAGGAGATGAGAAGATAAAGAAGACAGAAAAGCTGGCGTTGGGAGGTCTTGCACAAGCTGCCTTATGCCAAGCAAGTTTATTAAGAAGTACAGCATCTTCTTTACTATTTGGCCAAGGTCATTAGAAAGCTAAATCAGACAATGCTGGCAAGAGAGCACAGGAGACCTCAGACACAGCTGCCTTAGGACTGATAAGCCGAGTTCCCAGGAACTGAAACCTTAACTCCTTCGAGGCCCAGGCCCCAGACTGGACCTTGCACAGCCTGCCCCTGGGCAAGGGCACAGAACTAGCGTCCCCTTTGTCCTTTCATCAGGACCTCTGAGAAAGCCTTGGATGGGGTCTGGTTCCCAACACTCAGAGAAAGGGAGAGCCCCATGTTCATGCTGCTTCTAGCTAGGGGTGGGGTGGGCATTCAGAATGCTCACCACTTTCCTGGGAGACACAGGCCTCCGGCACTGACTGTAGCGTTTAATATCTTGCAGGGTGATGGACTCAGGCCCCTCAGAGAGCTGGCTGCTCCAGGAGCAGCTGCTGCTGCTGCAGGCGCTGCTAAAGCAAGTGCATGGGCAAGTGGCCGGGCAGGTCCAGGTCCAGACCGAGGCTCGGGTCCAGCGAGGCATCCTACAAGAGAGCCAGAAGCTGCTGCTGTGGGCGGAGAGCATCCGGGCTCAGCTGTGCAGCAAAGGGAAGCTGGAGGATGTGAGCTCCGGCCAGCAGCTGCTGAGGAAGCATGGAGGCCTACAGGAGGAGATCTGCCTGTGGCAAGAGAGGTCAGGACAGACTGGGGGTGGGGTGGGGGGTTTGAGTTCACAAAAGGAAAGCCAAAAGCAATGTGGTCTCCAGAGTCACGAGCCAGGTTGGTATCTAGCATGGCTCTGCAGGTAGGTTTTCAGGAGGTGGGTTTTCAGGTCGTCAGGCTGCCTGCACACTTCGGGAAGGGCCCTCAGACACTCAGCTGCCAGAGAGGTTCTGAGCTTCAGCCCAGCTGCTCTCCTTCAGGTGTGATGGTGGCCTACCCCACAGTCTGGCCTCCCATCCTGAGCAGGGCATACTCTCCCGGCCTCGGCAGTCAGAGGGCCCAGGACCCACCAATGGACTAAGACCGAAGTGAGGTACGGCCCTGTGAGCCAGCAGAGCCACCTTGTACAATCCCCAGACCCTCCCCTGCTCCAAGGGGCCTAGCAGGTATCAAGCAGGCCCCGAGAAACAAGCAGCTGCCCCTCCACTTGTTACACACGCCCAGCTACTTAGAGGAAATGCTGGCTTTTTCTGGCTCCCACAGCCACCTGTTTCCAAAATGAGGGGGCAGCATCAAGCCTAAAGGAGCACCTGTTCTGCTGGGTCAAAGGTTCCAGTGGCCCTGACAGCCGGCCTATGTGGATTGGGTGATCTCTGTTGAGTTGCGTTATCCCAGCATGCCGCTAGCCATCTACTTTAGAGGAGGGTATGACATGAGTCATGAGCACTCTGCTAGGCCTGTTGGATTCCGTCTTACTCACAGGACAGGGCACAGCTGTCCTGTGAAAAAGTGAATCAATAGGACTCACCAGCCTCTGATTACCCTGCCTTCAGAGCTCGCTGATGAAGGGCTGGAGGAGCTGGTGAGAAGGGCCAGGTGTGGTTTAACACTTAACGTCTGTTTTGCACAGGCTGCAGCAGCTGGAGGCGCAGAGCCAGCTGGTGGCAGTCTCAGACTCCCCGGAGTCCCGAAAGGTGGCCAGCGCCCTAAGGCTCCTAGGCCAACAGGGCCAGCAGCTGAAGGCTCTGTGGGAGCAGAGACAGCAGGAGCTTCTGGAGGGGCTGGAGCTGCAGAGGCTTGGCCAAGAAGCGGATGGTTTCATCACCACCTGTGCCAGCCATGAGGCCTTACTGCACCAAGACAATCTTGGGGTAAAACATAGAACTGGGGTGTCATCCTATTGCCCTTAGAGGAGGCTGGCCTCCTTGGGTCCAGAAGGCAGGGTGGGCAGGAAGGTCTTAAGGATGAGCTGACCTCAAGTCTCTATACCAGGAGGACATAGGAGAGGCCCAGAGCCTTCTGCAGCAGCACCAGGGCTTGGGGTGGCTCCGAAGCATCCTGGGATACCGGGCAGAGGCCCTGGGGGCACGTGGTGAGAAGCTGCTTCTGAGCCAACACCCTGCCATGCACAAGTGAGCCATCTGCCTGCTGCAGTCTCTCTGCACCTGGACGGACTGCTGCTGCCTGAGGCACAGTGGGGTGGGTTTCCCTTGGGTTAAGAGGGGGACCTCCGGGCAGAGAAGATCCCTGCCCTCTCCCTGCACTCCAGGATCAGAGAGCTGCTGCACAGTGCCCAGGCACAGTGGACCAGAGTCCAGGAGAGGAGTGAACAGAGAAGGGAACAGCTGCTGGCTTCTCTCCAATTGCAGGTGAGTCCCTAGGCTTCGGAGGCGTCTCCAGAAACAGTGCCCAGGAGCCCACAGTTGCACCAAGGCAGGACGATCCTGTTTATTGAGCACTTTCCCCACCCTGGAAGCACAGTTGTTGGGTGTTTCTGAGAGGAAGCTGGAGCTGTGGTCACTGTGCTTCTCAGAGAAGGACCCCTTGACTAACTGAGCCTCTCATCCTACTACACACCTGCCCTTACTTCTGGCACACCAGGATTTGCATGGGTGATGGACGCGGCTTCAGATCTTAGCTTTGGCGCTTGTGCAGGCACTAGAGTGACTCTCAGGCCAGGCCAGGCCTTCAAGAACAACAGCCTGTTAGAACAAGACAGCCACATGTGATCTGGTGTTGTCTGTAGGAGTGGACCCTGAGAGGCACATTTTGAGGCACAGTGTCCTTGTCCCATTTGGGGATCAGAAAAATTCTGTACCCAAGAATTAAGACGGGGCCCTGTTTTTCCCCACCAAGCACTCTCCCTAGAGGTAGGTCCTTGTGCCGCCCCTCACCCTGGGCTCTGAGGCCCACTCTCTCCTGGTTCTCGGGCAGGAATGGAAACAGGCTGTGGCAGAGCTAATGCTGTGGATGGAGGAGAAGTGGCCCAGGGTGGCCGATGAACCCTCCCAGCCACACAGCGACATTCTGCAGAAACTCAAGTGGCAAAAAATAACTGAGAATGAGCTATTAGCCACCCGTGGGTACGTGGAGCACCTAGGGCAGGTGAGGACGCTGGACAGAGGTGTAGGGCCCTCTTGTCTTCAGATTCCCAGCACATATGCCCTGCCTGTTTCTACGGAGCATAGTCCCTGAAGGGTCCTCTCTGCTCCCTTCACTTAGCTGGGTGTCCCCCTAAATGGGCACCCAAATCAGCTCAGAAAGCTGCCACCATTCCAGGTAGCTAGCAGAAAACAGTCGCAGCTAGCAACCTGCCTCCTGCCCCCTGGGTGCAGCATGCTGCGCTGGGTGGTGGTCCCATCAGCTCAGCAAAATGGTCCAGGCCTTTGTCTCTACTCCAGGCTGGGAGAGAGCTAGTGCAAAGCCACCCATATGCACAGGAGGCCATACAGGACAGACTTCAGAGCCTGACTCACAAGTGGGAAGAGTTGAACCACAAGATGGCAGAGCAAGGCGACAGGCTACAGCAAATCAGACAGCAGGGCCAGCTCCTGGAACTCCTGCAGGTCGCTGGGGAATGTGGGGTAGGGCTGAGGACACGGCTGGGGCAGGATGGGAGAAGGCAGAACAGAGCAGCTGGAAAGAGTGGTCTCGTAAAGTCATGTGCAGAGCTCGGGCCCCCGAGGAGGCTGTGTGGCCTTGCCCTGCCACAGGCCACCACAAGAACATCTTCTGTGTGTCTAGCACGTGATTATCACAACTCAAGTCCCCTAGAGAAGATACAGAAGTGGTTTGCGCACTAGTTGGAGGGACGTGGTGAATCTGGTCCTGGTGGTCCTGGTGAATCTGGGGTTAGGGGCGCTATAGACTCGGAGCTTCCGGAGGGTCGCCTGCTGAGCTGCAGTGGAAAGGTGAGAATGCAACCTCTCCTCGCCTTCCCCAGGATGTCAGGGAGGTGATGGAGCATCTGGAGGGAACCCTGCAGAGTACGGAAGTGGGACAGGACCTGTGCTCCAGCCTGAGGCTGCAGAAACAGCACTGCCAACTAGAGGACAAGAGCCAGGCGCTGGCCGGGAAGATGGCTGCCCTCCTCTCTCGGACACACAATGCATTCACTTCCTTGACCATCCTGGAGGAGAGCCAGAAGTGTCAGCAGAGGTAGCCATTCCATCTTCACCCTCCACACATGCCTTGTAAACCTAAGGACTGAGTGGCACCTAGAGGGCCTGAGGGCATCCAAGCCTCCCCCCCTTTCTGAGTGGAGTCGTTCTGGGTGGGAATGCCAGGGCGGTTAGGTATCCTAAGCAGAACATCACTGAAGTCAAAGGCTTCCCTACCCCCAGAGGTCTTCCTCTAGTCTCTGGCTTTGTTCCTTACGGGTCCCTGGTGGGAATGAGGAGAGGACCATGACCTTCTCTTCCTTCTTTTCCCTCGGCCCCCATCTTTACTCCTTCTACCAGGTTTGAGGCCCTGCAGAGCAAGCTGACCACCCGAAACCTGCAGCTGCAGGCCTCCATTGAGCTGCACCGATTTAACCTCCTTAGCAACCTGGAGCTCACATGGGTGGCGGAGCACATGCCCAGTGCCAGTCCCACCTGCCCTGCCCAGTGCTGGCGCGATGCCCAGAGACTTCAAGGCAAGCACAAGGTAGCGCCACCTGTTTCCTCCCAGGACCCTCACCATCTCATCCCCAGACCTTAAAAGCCCCCTGCCACTCAGGCTATCCAAACTCTTCTCCTCAGCATGTCCCGATTTCCAAATTCACTTTGCTCCAGCCATGCTGCGCCTGATGATCTCGAACCAGAGACATGTCCGTGATTCAAATCTGGACCTCTGTGGCTAAGGGAAGCCCTTTGTTCTGCGGCAGGTGCTCCAGGCTGAGGTGAATGCTCACAAAGGTCACATGCACGTGGTGCTAAGTTCTGGCCAGAGTCTAGCAGCCTCTGAGCACCCCCAAGCTCAGCATATCCTGGAACGGTGCCAGAAGCTGGAAGGCCACTGGGCAGAACTGGAGCAGGCGTGTGAGGCTCGAGCCCGTTGCCTGCAGCAGGCCGTCACCGTCCAGCAGGTAGGAGGCCAGGAGGATGGGGTCTGCAGAGCAGTGGTCCGGCTGTGGTAGAGAGGAGTTGTGGGACTTTCAGGGAGGCCCGTGATGAGAGTTGTGTGCTAAGAGTTAGCTGTTTCTCTTAAGCACACAGAAGCTTCTCTGCAGGCTGCTGGTGACCAGGATGGGTGGTGAAGGGTCCCAGCTAAGAGCAACAAGGTGAGTCCATGTCATTCTTTGCAGTACTTTTCCAATGTGTCAGAAATTGAGGCCTGGGTGGAGAACAAGCGGCCTCTGGTGAGCAGTCAGGATTATGGAAGTGATGAGGAAGCCACCATTATTCTCATCAGAAAACACCAGGTACCGTGTTCTGTGCATCTCCACACGGGTGACAGTGGACCATGAGGAGGTCTGCTGTACCCCAAAGGGTATATCCTTCTCCCTGAGACACAGAACCCCTCTGTTTCCTTCCTGTCCCCATCCACTCCGTGCCCAATTCCTGATTAACCCTCACCCCTGAGCACTTTCTGCCAGTCCCCAGCCTGACTCAGGAGAGTGCTCTGCCATCTGTGGCCTCATACCCGGACTTGCCCCTCCATGCAGACTTGGGGTGCCTCTGTCTCCTCTCGCTTCATCTTCCAGTACTGTCACCTGCTCCAGCCCACCCCATGCCCTTCATAGGTGTTCTCCTCCTGGGCTCTCAACACGATCCTTTCTGTTAACCCAGTCGCCATCCTAAAACCCATCTCCTCCCACAAGCATTCCTGGTAAGAAGGAGGGAGGCCAGAGTGGATTTCTAGAACCAACAATGAGGCTCCAGAGCCTCAGCCCCGCTGTGCTCCTGCTTCTTATCATGGAAATGTCCCATCTGGATGCTTTCCTGTATGCCCCCGAAGTCACTGTTTTGGGGTAGTTTGTGGCTGAGGACTTTAAGTGAGCTATTCCTGAAGGCTATGCCTGCAGACTTGGCCTCACGGAGCCTCCATGTGCCAAGCATACAGAGAAGCTTGCTTAGTTCTATCTATTTTTTTCACACTTTGATGTTGGGGTCCAGCATGATACCTCCCGTACCCTCCCTTCCTCGGCCCGGTCTTCCTACCATTTACTCTTTCATGCTAAGTAGTGAGCCCTCTGAGGGCGGAGACCATATCTTCATTTTGCAGGACAGCTGTGCCATCGGCATTGGGTAAGTGGGTAACGGGTGGGTGGGGAAGCTGAGCAGGAGAAACATGGATAAACAGTAGATGGATGAGCACACTGGTAAGAGGTGTGAGTTATTGAATGAACGCCTGGGGACGGATGGGTAGGTCATGTTGGGGGTAGATGTGCAGAGAGATAAAGAACCACCCAGTCCATGTTCTTACGCTGGCAGATGCTGCAGCAGGAATTAACTCTTTATTGGAGTTCCGTGGAGGATCTTGAGCAAAGGTTCCAGACCCTCTCAGCACTTGAGGCCTCCGAGCAGCTGGGCATAGTGCGGGAACAGCTACAGGCATTACAGACATTGGCAGATGCACGGTGAGGGCCATTAGGGACCTTCTCGTCGGTGGGCACAGAGGCCCTGACCACTGGCCATCCCTGCCATGGCCCTATGTTGGCGGGAACCCAGGCCTTTAGGGATGCCCCGGGAGAAGGCTGTTTCTGCCATGAGTCTCTCACCTCTCTAGAAGTTCTCAGTAAAGGCCCACTTCCCAGGGCCTTGGGTTTTTGAGTCCCAGCTCTCCACCTCTCGACAATGTCCTCTGTCCCCTACTCTGGTCTCCCTAGGTCTTCTTCCCAAGTCACAGGCTTGGGCAAAGATCATGAATAGCTCCATTCTTCAGCCCCATCTCCACCCGAACTCAGGTCCCCAGAGGGATGAACGGGCAGGTAACATCTGGGGAAACCCTGGTTGTCGCCACAGGGGTCAGGAGCTGGAGGGGACCCTGAGACTACATGAATTCATGAGAGAAGCTGAGGACCTGCAGAGCTGCCTGGCAAGCTGGAAGCAGGTGGCCAGAGGCGGGGACAGCTTTGGAGAGGACCATGCGCATGTGCTGGTGAGGGGTCAGGGGCAGGGAAGACATAGGAGGCAGATGCTGGGTGGCAGGGGCTAGTCCCGCTGGGCTGGATGGAGAAGGGATAAGAGAGTCATGGAATATGCCTTTTGGGGTGGAGTGCGCTGGCCCCACAGCCACACAACTCTACATTGTCAATGAATACCCTGCCTGGGTCTATCCTGTCATCTACTCCCCTCTCTCCTTAGCAACTCTGCACTAAGTTTGCAAAGCTTCAGGACCAGGTTGAAACAGGTGCCCAGCGAGTAGAAATCTGCCAACAGCTGGCAAAGAACCTACTAGAGCATGGGCATAGCGCTGCCCCCCAGGCCCACCAGAGGCAGGAAGATCTACAGTGAGTGTGATGGCCCAAGCAAGGGCCTGGGTTTGGAGGAGGGTGTTGGCCCCGTGTCTTGGGCTGTTAGCAAAGGGTCCTGTTTGCTCAACTATAGAGGGAGCAGTCCCTGAGAGGCCACGCCTCCCTAGGCTGTGGTCTGTGATGGACGATAAGGCTGGAGGTACCAGCCAGATATCCCAGCCCCCAGGAACACTTTTCCCAATTGCTGCCTTCCAGGACCTGGAGGAGGAGCTATGGAAAGAAACCACCCGAGCTAGAGAGGAGACCCCCATGAGCTCCGGGCTTCTACACTCACAGCCCTTCCATGTAATAGTCCTAGGCGTCCCCCCACCTGCTGATGTGGGCCCTACTCTAACCTGTGAGCCTAAGACGAGCTCAGGATCTTCTCCTAACCCTCAGCAGAAAGGCTGGCTTGGAAGAAGCCTGTGAGCACACAGAAAAAGGAAGAGATAGGAACTCTCTGCTCTAGGCATTTGTAACGAGATCAGTTAACATACTGAAAGTCAGGCACAAGAGATGTAGGCAGTGTTTGAAAGTAGAGCTGTAAAGTGCTGAGCATGGCGGGGCAGCGCACATGGCCACACTCCTGGTGATGGCTACGCTCCCGCTCCCGTGGCAAAGGAAGCAAAGGGTGTAGGGAGGGAGAGCCCAAAGCAGAAGGCTCAACAGGGAAGCCCCATTCAGGAGCTTTGGGGAAGCCACGAATTCCACCCAGAGTGGAGAGGGCTGGTCAGACCAGGGAGAGAACACAGGCTGGCCCATGGCTGCTCTTCTGTGTGGTAGGGCTACCTGGTCCGAGCTGTGGCAGTTGACCCATACCCAAGGTCGCCGGCTCCAGGAGGCAGAAGCCACCCTCAGAGTCCACAGAGACCTTCTAGAAGTCCTTACCCAGATTCAGGTATGAACTCGGAGAGGAACGGGGTCCCCTTCTAAAAGTGGATCTCCCAGGCTCAGTGCCCCAACCTCCCTTCCTGGCCTGCTCTGACCCTTCTCTGCCCTAGGAGAAAACTACAAGCCTCCCTAATGGTATAGCCCAGGACCTGCATGGAGTAGAGACCCAGCTGCAGAGACAGGAGGGGCTGGAACGCGAGCTGGCAGGCCTGGAGCCACAGGCAAGCAGGCTGCTGGCACTGCCTCTCAGGCCCCTACAGGCCCTCCAGCCTGGCCCATTTGTTCTTCCCGTTGAGCCTGTCCTGCATGGCAGAGCATGGTCCGAGGAGTTCCTGGGACTGAATACTCAGACAGGGAACATACCTGGGGATGCCCGGGTCCTTCTGCCTCTGAAGAAACTGATCTCCCCACCCCCCATTCCTTACCTGCTAGCTCCAGGAACTGCTGAAGGCTAGAAGCAGGGTGCAGAAGCCGGGGCTGGGGCCTCAGGCCCTTGATACCATCCAGCAGAAGCAGCAAGCCGTGACACAGGCCTGGGCGGCCCTCCAGCTGTGCGTGGAGCAGCGCAGGGCCCAGTTGGAGCAAGCACATCTCCTGGCCCGATTCCACGCAGCGGTGAGGGCTTTCTCCCCTTGGGAAGGGCGCACGTGTGCACAGATGTTCCCATGCACTGAGGCCCTCGAGTTATGGAAGGAAAACTGTGCGGTCAGAGGGGCAAGAGTAAGGGTCTGTAGTCCTGGAAGGACTGGGTCAGATGATGACAGAGAAGCCAAGTGACAGAGATGTAGGACTCTTGACACCAGAAGCCCTGAGTCTGTGTTGTTTGCCACCAGCCTCATCTCAATGGCTCCTCATTGTCCCCTGGGGTCAGGTGAGGGACTACACGTCCTGGGCAGCCAGCATGCATCAGGAGCTGCGGATAGAGGAGGGCTCCTGGGAACCCAGCAGCAGCCTGCTCAGGCTCAGAGCCCACCAATGGCTGTGGGCAGAACTGAAAGCCAGGGAGGAGCTGCAGCAACAGGCCACAAAGCTGGGCCAGCAGGCACTTCTGGCTGCTGGGGCATCCACTAAGGAGGTGAGCATTTTCCCCATGCCGCCAGCCTACCCTGTCTTCCCTCAGGCTGCTCCCCTCATCCCTAACACACACACACACACACACACACACACACGCACGCACACACGCACACACGCACGCACACACGCACGCACGCACGCACACACCTTGTTGCGTCTATTAGTTTCTTCTCAAAGACTTCCTTGGGGTCTATTAGTGGCCCTCTGCAACCCCACCTTCCCACATTCTTATCTTCAGGTTCAGGATGGGCTTCAAGCCCTACAGGAGGAACGTGACCAGGTGTTCAAGGCCTGGACACTCAAGCAAGAGAGGCTGCAGGCCATGCTTCAAGAACAGAGCCTCCTTAGCCAGTGTGGTCACCTGGAGAAGATCCTCGCAGCCCAGGAGGCAGGTCTAAAAGCCCAAACTCTACCCTCCCTCTCTTCTTCCTTGCCTCTGGCTGCTCCTCCCTTCTTCCGGGGTCTTTAGCTTATTCTTGAACACAGAGCAAAGGGGCTCTGGGTGAGTCCTCCAAGATGGCTACTGTGGGTTCTCCTGCCTGGGGGCTGTCTCTCTGCAGCCCACGAAGTCAGGAGGGCAACAAGATGAGAGGCGTGCCTGGAACAGCCTTTGGGCAACCATATGGGAATCACACAGCCTGGAACCAGCAGGAAGCTAATTCAGCTTTAATTCCAGAGAACAAAGGCTATATACCTTTGTTCTTGGGGAGTGGGTAGGGGGCTCCAAGGATAGGTGTACATAACTGGCTGGAACTAGGCACTTCAAGAACGTGTGATTTGCATTATAGAGCACGCCCCTATCCTATAAGTGGAAACACAGTACCTAGTTATCCTATAGGCACGGGGAGGGAGACGGCTAGCAGGGAGCTATGTCAGAGGCGCTTTATCAAATGTGGCTATGGACATCTGGGTCTAAAGGCACTCTCCAGATGAAGCCAGGCAGGGAGCAAGAGGGAAGGGGGCGTCCTACACCTTAACACCAAGCTCAGGATGGCTATCCGGGATCCATGGAGCTGAATAGAGGTCACCCATAATCTCCATGTTGTCAGAGGCTGACATGTGGCTGGCCTCCAGCATGGGCTCCTGTTCCCCCTCATCACTGCCCTGCCCATGTGTTCATGTCAGCACTACTCGGGCCCCAGGGGTCCTGCCTCGGCAGACAGTGCCAGCAGCCCTCAGAGCCTCTGGTCTTTCCACGATGATCCAGGCATTCCTAAAATCCAGTACCCTGGGGAGCTCAGAGGAAGAAGTGGAGCAGTTGATCCAAAAGCATGTGATCTTCCAGAAAGTGCTAGCTCTCCAGGACGAGAAGGTGATGGGGTCGGGGAGTCCTGAACATAGTTGGTGATGGGGGACTCTTCAAGAGGGGTTTGGTGTATGCCCAGAAACGGTGCTGGTGTGTCTGTGGCCCTAGGAGTAGAATTGTACATATGGCTCAAGGAAAGACCCAAGCTGGGCTGGACCACACCACAGGGGGCCCCGGGGAACATTTACTTAGTCTGAGGTTACTGAAAGGAGAACAGTTCTGGCTATTGCCAGAGCCATCAGCTAGCCCTTGAGCGTGCACAGGCGAGGGAAAGTCAATGGCTAGGTTGCCAGAGTAGACCAGGAGGCACTGTCTGTCCTACAGGAGATGGCTCTACGTGAGCAGTTGAAAATGATCTCAAACCCTAAGGGGCAGAACCTGGTTTACCGCGTGCTGGAGCGTCGGGCTCAAGTGAAGGAGCTGGCAGAGAGCCGGGCACAGGCCCTGCACGCCACTCTGATGGTAGCCAACTTCACCATGGCGGCAACCCAGGTCAGACGACCATCCCTGCCTGTTGCCTGACCCTGAGATTTATACATTGTGCAGTTTGAGGTGACGTTCATGTCATAACACTATGACAACAACAGGTTTGGAGAGTTAGGTGGCTTCCCAGGGGCCAGGCTGGACGTGGCTGGATGGGTTCCTGGAGCGGGGGCTCATGCCTCTGAGGTGGACTCCCATCCACACACCTTGCTCAGCCTGGCCTGGGCATAGCTTCCTGAGCTACGAGATACTGCCAGCCCTGCCCCTGAGGCCAGCAGTCCACCCCCTGGACTTTGCTGGTGCAGCATTGGGGTTGAAGGGGAGTCGGGCGGCAGGGGGATTGCAGGGGGAGCATCATAGGATTTGTGTCCCACCCCCACCAGGCTGAGGACTGGATCCAGGAGCGGCTCCAGCAGCGGAGAGCCTGGAGCCCTCCTGGGAACCTGAAAGATTATCTGAAGCACCTGAAGAAACACCAGGCCTTTGGAGCTGAAGTCCAGGCCCATGAGCAGGTCATGACCTCTGTTGCCAAGGTAACTCCAGCCACAGCCCAGCCTACTCCTAAGTGTTGATGGTGGAGTTCTGAGGTCTCAGGTAAGAAGAAATGCCTGCTACCCCGCTCACCGCTTCCCCCCTCCTGTCTCCCAGCAAGGCGAAGGGCTCCTCAGACAGAGCCACCCTCAGGCCGGAGAGGTCTCCCAGAGGCTGGCGGCCCTGTGGGACTTGTGGGAGAAGCTGAGGCAGGCAGTGACCATGCAGGGCCAGGCCCTGGAGGACAGATGCAACTTCCTGGAGTTCCTACAGAGGGTGGACCTTGCAGAGGCCTGGATCCAGGAGAAGGTGAAGGCTTTACTGGATAGAGCATTTGGGGACCAGAGGATGGGGTGGGGAGGAGGCAGGCCCGCAGTCCTCTGGCTCCCTGATGGTAGGAACATACCAAACCTCCACCTGCCCTACGCTGCCGCAGCCCTGGGTCCAGGGGCCATCGCTGAGCACTGCATCCTCACCCTTGACCTCCACAGGAGAGGATGGTGAACACCGCTGACTTGGGCCTGAACCTTGAGCACTGCCGGCAGCTTCGCCGGCAGGTCCACCAGTTACAGGTAAGAGGCCCTGCGGGGGACGGGATGACACCGTACCACCCACTGGGAAATATGTCTGATGGACTCCAGAATCCACAGAAGGCTCATGTTCAGCCTCGCACTACTCGGAAACACTTAGGCGAGCTCACCCATCTGGTTGGTGGCGGTCCACATGATCCTACACCTGTAATAAAATGATGCCTCTGCCAGAAAAGCGGGCGGTCTGGTTTCAGTGTGATGATAAGAAGCCGGGAGGTCCGGGAGGTCCGTGGGGCCGCTGAACCCCTTTTTCAGCTTTCCGAACTTATACGAAATTATAATCATAACTTAACTATTATTTCAAATTTTCTAAGAAAGGTCCAACCTGTGCCTGGGTGTGGTAGGTAACCAGTGTGAGTACTGCACCATCTCTCACCCACACCGCCCACCAAACAGACCAGGGATCTGTCTCTCTGCAACGTAGACGGGGAAAGGGGCAAATACATTCGTCACCAGGCGCTGAGGGCAGAGGGCTGACCACGCCCCAGACAGGTGTGTGAGATTTTGGTAAAGGCTGTGTAGCCTTAACCCCAACACACCCTTACCTTGTGGTGGCACCTGGCTGCTGTACCACGTGATACAGCAGGAAGGGATGCCCTGAACCCAGTGTCCTGACTTGCCACAAGGGAGCCTCGTGGTCCTCTGAGCCCTGCTGAGCTCCAGACTCATAGGAAAGAGCTTTGAGGAGTTACAAATGCTTCCTGCTTCCTAGGGAGCAGGAAGTCTATGACCCGCCCTGTTGGGGCTCCCCTCCCCTGAGGACCTATGAGCCTGCCTGTGTCCCAGCTCTATTTTTAAGCTTAAACACTAGTAATGAGTCTGTGTCCAGTTCCCCCTCCTACCCAGTCCTCGTTCTGGGAGGCCCATTTCCCCATCTGAGAGACTGTAAGGTTGTGGGTTCCAGGCTGGTCCTCCTCGCTGCAGCTGAGGCCTCCAGTGCCTGTCACTGCTTCCCTCTTCCAAACGTGCTGTGGTTGCTAAAATTCCTTCCCAGGAGAAGACATAAACCTTCTCTTGAGGCCCAACTGACAAACCAAGAGGCAAAGTTCACTCTGTGGTTTATTGGGCTTCCTTACAAAGCATGATACATGAGTATCACAGTCAATCCCTGGATAAATGGGTATCATGCCTTCCACAACAAGCTGACCAGTCTTCCCCAGAAGGCACAGAGCTTTGATGGCGCCCACTCCATCCAGGTGTATACACTCTAGCTTCTTCTCTAGGCCATATGCAAGTAAGTCAGAGTTACATACGACAGATGGGATGGATACTCAGGCAGGGGTCCTGTGACCCTCCTGCCTTTCCAGGAGGGAGTATAATCCAGCGACAAGCCCAACTGGGAGGATCTTTGGCCAAGAGGCTCCCCAAGGTTGTGGTTACTTTCCCAGGGGACAGTCACAACAGCTATGCCGAGACGAGGCCCCGAACAGGTAGTGCTTGTGTCCTCGCCTTCACCTTCCCCTTAGGTCACAGTGGATGGCACCTACATCAGGAGAATCAAAATCTTGTCACCGCAGCTCAAGAACCAGAGCCCTGAGGAATCTCAGACCATCTGCCAGCGGCAAAACCAGCTCAATAATAGGCCAGTCTTAGACTGGGGAGGACAGTAAGGACAGTGGGGCTGGGAGATGGGCTGTGTGCCACCTCAGGCTGCAAGGTTCACCCCATCCTTTGAACAGGTGGAAGGGTTTCCATGGCAACCTGCTCCTGTATCAGCAACGGCTTGAAGCAGCCCTGGAGATCCATACGTTGTCCAGTGAACTGGATGACATCACTGAGCAGATCAGGGAGAAGGTAGGTAGTGGAAAGTCCCCTTGTGCGTGGCGTTGGGAGTGGCACTGCCTTGAGTCTCCCATGACCCCTGCCTGGCCCACCTCTGCTCTTCATCTGGATCCCACCATGAGTCCACCAGGAAATCTGCAGCTCCTAAGCCAGTCCCCCTGCCTCTGTCTATCCCAGATGTGGGGTGGGTCCAGAGGCCAGAGCGCACCCTGTTTTCCCTGGACCCTAAGCAAGTCTAAAGCCCATCAGAGGTGTCAGGATGGTGTCAGGCCCACAGAGATTCAGGACTTAAGGCTGTGGAAGTGCAGATAAGGCCTATGCAGCCTGAGAAACCCCATGTGGGACAGCGTCCTCTTCCGCTGGACCCTCCCCTCATAGCTAGCCTGGGCCTCAGACCTCTGAGATCCCAGAGGGATGGGTGTCAAAAGCCAGGAAGCACCACACACAAGTTACCAGAGGAAGATCCAGACCCAGAGTCCTGCCCCAGAGCTCTTTGTTTCCTTCACCTGAGGAAAATGCCTCTGGTCACGTCCAAGGCCCTCCTCCTGTCCTGCTGAGGCAGCAGGAAGAACTCATGCAGGACGCTTGCACTTTTCACTGCTACCCTAGGGGGCTGGCTTCTGTGATAAGCAGGCAGCCGAAGCTAAGGCCTAGCCTGTAAGGGCTCCCTATTGCACCCTCCCAGGAATCCCTGATCCAGGCCCTGGAGGGCACAGAGGATTTGGAGAATATACAGACGCTGTCATGGAAACAGAAAATGCTGCAGCAGGAGATGGGCCTCATCCAGACTCAGGTGGAGGTGTGTAGTTGAGGGACCCAGGACCTGGGCACATCCTCAGGGATGGTGGACTCTTGAGAGCCACATGCTAGGATGCTACCTCACCCCCCAACCCCCAGCCTGAGCTCCTGCGGCCTAGCCTCTGACTTTCCCCCCTATCAGTCTCTTGAGGGTAAGGCCAGCCGCCTCTGCAACGAAAGTCCTGAGGCTGCACACAGCCTCAGCCATAAGCAGCAAGAGATGATGGACAGCTGGCAGAAGGTCTGGAGTAGGGCCCGCAAGTGGTATGAGACCTTGGGCTTTAGTCCCATGTTGACTGGTCCCCTCTAGTTCTCAGCCCACGCACTTCTCCTTGGCTCCTGTTTTCTGCTGAGTTTCTTTATCATTCCCAGCCCATGGATCTTCTGCGCTTAAGGGATTAAAGTACACTGGGCATAAGGGAAAGGGGACTCCATGATCCTAGAACTAACTAGTGAGTCCTGTGAGCAGGAGGGAGTCGCTGGCTGTCGGCCTCGAGGTCCAGAAGCTCCAGACTCTGTTGCAGGAGCTGCGGGACTGGGGGCAGGGACTGCAAGCTGAGATGGACATGCAGGGCGCCCCCTGCAGCCCTCTGAGAGCCCTGTACATGCTGCAAGAGCACCAGGCACTCAAGGTGAGCGACAGTCCTTTCAAATGTCCCCCTGTCACGACTCCACCCCTTCCTCTGGCCCCTAGTAGGACCTTTCTCTGTCTCCTGACCAGCTTTGTCTTTCCCCACCTTCCCCTTGATTTCCATCCTCCCCTCTCCCTGCTGAACCTCTGCTCATCCTGAGAGTTCCCACAGGGAACTGATCTCAGGCCCATTACAGGTTGAGCTGGACATCAGAACAGAAAGCCTTAGCCTGGCCAGAAGCATGGGGCAGCGGCTGCTCGCATCTGGACACCCACTGGCCTTAGGGATTCCCCAGCCCCTGGCTGCTGCAGAGCAGGAATTGAGTAGCTTGCAGGAATCATGGCAGAGGCGGCAGCAGCAGCTGCAGCAGGCCTTGGAGCAGCAGGTAGGCCCCAGGCTTACCCCCTATCAGGACCTGTGATGTCCCCACAACTCTGGTCAAAGCCACAGCTGAAAAGACTGCCTTTCTTGGGTATTCCTACCATCCATCCTGCTCCTGCACCATAGAGCCAGGCCCCTGGTTCTCCAACCTGAACCATCAAAAAGCCCCCCAACCCCACACCTCTGCTGAGTTTCTCTTGTCTTATCTCACCAGCTATTTCTGAGCTCTGTGGGAAAGGCAGAACGCTGGCTTGACACTGAGGAGGCCTCCCTAGCTTGTGAGAGAGCGGCGGTAGGTGCCTAACAGGAGTAGGAAAGGGTGGATGAGAGCAATCAAGCTAGCCAGAACCATGAAGTTTGCTGGCTCAGGGTCCTCCCCACTGCTGAGCAGTGACCATCAGTCCAAAGTGTTCCTTGCCCCTTGGGTGGGGCTCACGGGGTGTGTCCTAGGAGCCAAGGGGATGAGCTTATGGCCTATCCAGCCAGTCCCTCTGATCTCTTTCCTACCACCCTCCTTGCCTCTGACCTCATTCCAACATCATCTCAAACCCAGTAACAGACAAGTGTAATTCACAGAGACCTGGGAGAATAATTAGGGCTGACATAGTTTTACAGAGCGCATGGAGGAGAGAGGCTGCCTTGGAAATGGACACTAGGTGCCATCCCAGTATCTCCCTTACCATAAAGCCATCAGCAGCCTTGTGGGGTTGAGTAATATCTTTGGGAGAGCAATCACTTTGTAGAAAGGGTTTGTTAGGTTGGGTCTAGAGGAAAGCAGATATTTCAGGGTGGAGTAAGGGGCACCCCTATAGTCACCATTAGGTTCCCATATCCACCAGGATCCCTTGGCCACTGTGGAGACCCTTCTGTCGAAGCACAAGAGGCGTGAGCAGAGCCTGAAAGCACAGGCTGAAAAGATCAGCACACTGGAGGCCACAGCCCACAGCCTGTACCCAGCTGGACACCCGGAGGCCCACAGCATCCTGGACAGGTGCCAGGCTCTACTCCTGAGGTACCCATGGCTCTGGGATGATGAGAACTGGGGGTGAGGTAATGTGGACATCTATTACCCAAGCTCTTCCCCTCCTGCTCTTCAATTTCTTGGGGTGCAGCTCAGTATTAGAACACTCACCTAGCACATGTGACATCTTAAGTTCAATCCCCAACACATTAGGAAAAAGAAAAAACTGTCACTTGGACGCAATATTAGTTTGGACTATTATTTTAAGAAGTGCTTCAGGCTGGGTGATAAACACGAAAAACATTTTCTCACAACTCTAGTGGCAAGCATTTCAAGGTCAAGGTGCTAGAGGGGGTCTCTCTCTTGGATTATAGTCTTCTGCTGTGTCTTTACATGGCTGTCCCTTTAGGTGTGTCCCGCCTCCTCGTACAAGGACACCTGTCCTTTCAGATTTGGCCTGACCAAATAGGAGACAGTGGGGTTAGGGCATGAACAAGTGGCAGCACTACAGAGAGGAAGCATGTGATATTTCTTTGTTTGAAAGGAAATCTCAGATTCAGGGCCTTGTGATATGGAGAGAGAGAGAGAGAGAGAGAGAGAGAGAATGCTCCAGTCCCGGTGGTTGAGCCTGGGAGTCCACGAGCCCCTCTTCTTGCAGGACAGAGGCACTCACAGAGCGAGCGAGGGCCCGAGGACAGCAGCTAGAAGAGCTGCGACAGCTTCGGACTTTCTTACAGGATTCCAATGAGGTTCCCTTTGCTTGGGCTGAGGGGGTTGTGAGGGAACACCCTCCTCAGGGCCCCAGAGGTTAGGGAAAGCAAAGCCTGGTTCTGTCCTTGTGTCAGGTGGCTGCGTGGCTGAGGGAGAAGAACCTGCTGGCTCTGGATGAGGGTCAGTGGGACCCGGCCACGGTGCAAACACAGCTGCAGAAGCAGCAGAATTTCCAGGCTGAGCTGGATGCCAGCGTTCACCAACGGCAGGAGCTCCAGATGGTGAGGCCCCGGGGCCGTGGGGCCATGGCTCAGCTCCACACACCCCTGCAGCTAGCTTTGAATCATAGTAGCTACAACCGGTGTCCACCTCAGGCTTTCTGTGCGCAGGCACTGTGCCAGGCTGATACTCGCCATTTAAAAAGGACAGCATTTGATAATTTTATGGAGAATGCATTGAAACAACCAGACAGAGCCAGCAGCCTTGGAGCTCAAGATGTCAGAACACAGTTTATTTTCTTTTCTTTTTTCTTTTTCTTTTCTTTTTTTCTTTCTTTCTTTTTCTTTTTTTTTTTTTTTTTTTAATATTTTCATCTCTACCTGGAAAGGAATTCTAACCCCAGCATTACTCTTGCTATCAAATGCTTTGCAAAGTAGTTCGTGTTCAGTTACCTTCTTTAACCAAGAATCATGGCTACTCCATTGCATGGAGGACAAAGAGACTTTGTGGTTGCACACACCCATAAGACCAGCACTGAGAGGCTGAGGCTAGACATTGTAAGTTAGAGGCAGCCTGGTGTGGCGTGGGCCTGTCATCCCAGCACTCACAGAAAGCTCTGGGCAGCCCGTCTGAGGCCAGCCTGGGCTATGTACAGAAGAAGAAAAGAGGGATGGGAACTGGGATTGGCGGGTGGAATTTGTCCCATGTCACACAGTCAGCATGGCGGGGCTGCAGTTGAGGGGCTGGCCATTGGTGCCATGGTACCAGTGCCCTCAGTCCAGGATGTATGTACAACATACGGTACAGGAGGGGCAGAGGCTGCTACAAGGGGGACACCCAGCATCCGAGACCATCCAGGGGCGACTGCAAGAGCTAGAAGGCCTCTGGGCTGAGCTGCAGGCCAACTGCCAGAGAAAGATGGCCAGACTACAGGGGGCCCACAAGGTGAGGCTTCGGGCTATGACGCGACTCACTGGGCAGGACTCGAGGACACACCACCCCACTCCCTCATGCTCACCTACATTCCGCCCCAGGCCCTGTGTCTGCAGAGGTTGCTGGAAGAACTTGAGCGCTGGCTGGAGCCCACAGAAGCAGAGCTGAGATCGCCTTTCAGAAGCCAGGACCTGCCTAGGGTGGGCGAGCTCTTGGGGGCCCAGGGGGAACTGGAGGCAGCTGTGGATAGGCAGGCCAGGCAAGTGCAGGAGCTGCAGAGCCAGGCCCAGGCGTGCTCTCAGGAAGGTCACTGCCTCGCCAAAGGCGTGGAGGAGCGAGCCCAGCGGCTGCTTCAGAGGTAGAGTGCCCCGGCCCCTGGCTTGATACCTTGTCCTCCTTTGCTTGCTTTCTTGGAGGGACACCCACTCCCTCCTTCTAGGTTCTCATTTCTCCTTCTGGTCACAATGACGGGCACAGGGTAGGTAGGCACTGTTATAGTCCAGTTTCAGCAGGCTGCCCGTGGCCTCTTCTGTTTCTCTTTCAGGTTCCAGAGTCTTCAGGAGCCCTTGAAGGAGCGCAGGGCAGCCCTGGAGGCCCAGGTTCTCCTCTTACAATTCCTCAGGGATGCTGATGAGGAAATGGCCTGGGTTCAGGAGAAGCTACCCTCTGCCACAGCCCAGGACTGTGGCCAGAGCCTGAGCACTGTGCGGCACCTGCAGGAGAAACACCAGGTTCTGGCCCATGCTGGGAGGCTGGGGAAGGGCTGCCTTAGAGGGACTGGAGATCTACGGTCAGGGACCAGGCGCCACAGCACAGCAGAGCCTCTGCTCTGGGGAGCACCTAGTTCCTTTGGAAATCCTGGGATGGAAATGCCTTGCCAAATCTGTAGGGTCCAGTGAATCATCAGGCCCCACTTGGGTGCAGATGCCTCAGTTTTCCAGTCTATCCCTGGTCCTTCCTCGTTGGCAGATTCTGGAGAATGAGATCAGTAGCCACAAGGCTCTGAGCCAGGTGGTGGTAGGTACAGGGCACAAGCTTGTCCAAGCTGGACACTTTGCCGCCGAAGAAGTGGCCGCCCGGGTACAGCAGCTGGAGGCGGCTCTAGACCACCTGCAGACAGAGGCGGCACAGAGGAGGAGGAGGCTGCAGCAGGCCCTGGAGGTCCAGCAGATTTTGATAGAGGTGAGAGGGGTGCTGGCCTGAGGACACTGGGGGGTGTGTGTGTATGGGACTGAAAGATGGCTCCCGTGAGGAACTTCACCTTCACCAGGGATGGTGGCTCATGCTTATAGTTCAGTACTCGGCAGGTTGAGGCAGGGGGATCACTACAAGTCCCAGGCCTATAAAGTGAGACCCTGGCTCACAGCAAGACAAAAAAATAAGAAGAAGAAGAAATGAAAAGAAGCAAAATAAGGCTGTTGGCTAAAATTTGCTTTTATTATATTAAATAGCAACCCTGTTTCTGAGAAGCAAAAATAAATTGTCTTTATTTTACATAGAAAAAAATATCACCTGGAACCCTTAAAAATGCTGACACTTAGGGTCCTTCCAGTACAGTAAGAATCTTCTGGAAGGTGCCAGGGAGGGGCCTTTAGAGCTCGCCAGGCAATTTCCGCATGTAGCTGGATGAGGACACACTCCCTGAGTCTGCCCCGTATACTCTTCCACTCTGAATCCTGAGGCCAGGAGCCCTCTACCCGAGTCTCAAAGTGAAGTGCTGGGCCCAAGAACACTAATTCCTGCTGTTATACTGCCTAGCTCCTGGAAGCAGGATCCTGGCTAGCTGAACAGGGCCATATTCTGGACAGTGAGGACCTGGGCCAGGATGCTGAGGCCACACAGGTTCTTCTGCGGCACCTGCAGGCCACCACAAGAGACTTGGAGTTGTTCAGCAGCCGCACTGAGCGGCTACAGCAAACAGTGGCCCTTCTGGAGAGTGGGCAAAACCCAGGCAGGTAGGCCAGAGTCACACTCTCCCCAGAGAGGAGCAGAGATAAGGGTGCCTCAGTCAGAGGCTGAGGAGGCTGGTCCAGCCTGGAGAGGGAGGGCTGCAGCCTATGCTGTCCTTTCTTCCTGTCACAGTCCCAGGGTGCTGGCCCAGCTGCAGGCTGTGAGGGAGGTCCACGCACAACTGCTGCAGAGGGCAGAGGGCAGGGGACAAGCGCTGCGTGAGCAGCTGCGCCTACACCGGGTGGAGCGAGAGGCCTTGCTCCTTCATGCCTGGCTGACCTCCAAGATGGCTGCCGCTGAGTCCCAGGACTATGGACAGGACTTAGAAGGCATCAAGGTGGGCTAGTCCTCTGCAGACCCAGGCGAGATGGGGGCGAGGCTTCCTTAGGTGAGGAAGGCATGTGGTCGAGGATGAGCGATTCTGAGGAGTGAACAAGGGTGCTGGAGGGGTGTCACTGGAAGAACCTGCAGTTCTAGAACTCGGGGCTAAGTGATGTTGGGGCCACTGGGGCCGCCGGGCTCTTAATGAGCTTCCAAGGCTGCAGCAGGAGCTCTACAGTGCCTGGCCTTACACCCTCCCAGGTTCTGGAAGACATGTTTGATACTTTTAGCAGAGAAGTCCAGAGCCTGGGCCAGGCTAAGGTGCAGACCCTGTGGGAGCTGATGGCTCCCCTAGAAAGAGGAGCACCCAGGTTCTATCCCCAGATGCAAGCCCAGAAGTGTCGTGTCCAGACCACTTGGGACAGGCTGAACAAGGCCATCAAAGTCCGTGCAGAGGTAGGCCGTGTCTCAGCGAGCATGGAGCCGTGGACTCCAGCACAGCCCCCGACCAGGTTCGCCCTTGTTCTCTCCCAGAACCTGGCTGCAGCCCGTGCGCTCCGGAGCTTTGAGCAGGCAGCCTCAGAGCTCCAGGGTTGGATGCAGGAGAAGACCTCGCTGCTGAAGGAAAAGCTCCATGGGCAGGGCCTGTCGTCTGCACAGGCTGTACAGCAGCAGCAGCAGCAGCACAGGTGCCTGCAGGTAAAGGCCTTGCCCAGGGCTTTTCCCCTCGGCCCCTCATCAGAAATGACAGGCCCTCCACCCAGGCCCTGCCCCTGAGCCACTTCTCCAGGGTATCAGGCCACTTGCCTCTGGCCCAAGAGAAGAGGTACAGGTTTTACACAGAAGAGAGGGGTCTCCACAGACCAGGGGCGACTGAATACGGAGCAGGCCAGAGCAGCGTGAGGCCCAACACCGTGTTCTGGTTGCAGAGAGAACTGACAGCTATCGAGAGAGAGGTGACAAGAGTACAGATGGAGGCCCAGCAACTCGGCCAAGCCCACCCTGTGGCTCAGGAGAACCTTGATGAGTGGCTCGCCAGGGTGCAGGGGGCCTGGGCCAACCTGAAGGCTCAAGTCCAGGAATGGAGGGAGAAGCTGTCCCAGGCTACCCAGGGCCACCGCTTTCTTGGGCGCTGTCAGGAGTTGCTGTAAGTAGGGGTTCCTGTCCATACTGTTAGCTCAGTCCTATCCTGACTTTTGGGGGAGTAGCCCTTCCTGTCCCTGTCTACCAGGCCAGCTCTGCTAGCAGCTCTCTTTCCTTGCCCGGCAGAGCGTGGGCTCAGGAGAAACAGGAACTGCTTTCCTCAGAGGGGCTGGCCAGGGCTGTGGTGGGGGCCGAGCAGTTCCTTGAGCAGCATGAGGAGCTGGACCAAGAAATCCAGGACTGCTACCTCCAAGCCCAGAACACACTGCAGGAAGGGCAGCGGCTGCTAGACAACGGCCATTTCATGTCCCTGAAGGTATGAGCCCAGAGGCTGGGAAGAGCCTAACTGCTACGGCGGGGGAGCCCCTGGGGAGGGTGAGGAAGAGGAAGGTGAAGAAGGCTGAGGAGGCAAAGGTCCTGCTGGCTTGGCTCACCCACCGCTGCAGGGTGAGAGCTCTGCCCAGGCTTCCAAGGCACCTTCCTGCAGGTGGCAGAGTGCCTACAGGGCCTGGAAAGGCATCTGCAGGAGCTTCAGGTAGCCTGGGCCCTGTGTGGGCAACGCTTTGAACAGAACCGGGGCCTGCAGCAGCTGAGGCAGAGGCTGGAGCTGGCTGAGGCCTGGCTGGCCTCCCAGGAGGGCCTGCTGCTGGACCCCAGCTGTGGGGTAAGTGGAGGCAGATCCCGCTGTTCCCTGCGGAGGTGAAGGGAGAGCCAGCACCCCAGACCTGAGCCACACGCGGACTCATTTCTCTCAGCACTCAGTGTCGGATGTGGAACGTCTGCTCTGCAGATATGAGAGTTTGGAAAAGCTACTGGCAGCCCATGAGGAGAAGTTCACCCAGCTCCAGACAGCAGAGGTTCAAGGGCTAGATGAGGGGAGGCTGGGTGTACTGAGAAGAGGTATGGGGGCCACTGGGTAGGATGGTTCTTTAGTCTACAAGTTAGGGCTCCTTAGGGCAGCGAGCCTCATAGAGTCTTCCTCAGGGGTTCTCCTTCAGGAAAACAACCAACCCCCACGACCCCAGTATCCCTGTGGGCTGACAAGGAGGGATGATTCTGGAGATAAAACATAATCAGAGAGGAGACCAGCATTCCTGGAGTGGGAGAGAACAGGGGAGGATTCAGGCAAACACACACACACACACACACACACACACACACACACACACACACACACA